AGCATTACCAAGTTCTTCAATATTGACGTTAAAATGCTAGTGCTCACCCACTATGATGCCTGAAGTTCTGTGTGATATTCTTGGGGCCATGGCGGACCTCTGGTTTCGTAACGTCTGTCTGCTGAAAGCTATCGCCCCACAAGTATATCTACCAGTAAATGCCTGATAAAGACGCTACATCACTGTCCTAGGTCAGATTATATAGGGGGTTATCAAGTGGAGAAGAGCACATACAGATATCAGCCGCCCCTGCTAGAGGGTATACAGCAGAATGCTTTCATACCTGTAACTAGCAGGTATTTCTAAGAATTGACACCGTGGCATTAATTACAATTTCGAAATTTACAAAAATAATTATGAAAGAGGTTTTTATACAAGGACATAATCTGCAGCTTGTATACCTGTGATATTTTGTTATGAACGACAATTTGGGCACTGCAGATCTCACTTTATAAAAGGCGTTATGGTAATACGATTTCTTTAGTTGCAGCTAAGATCGGACTAGAGTAGTAGGTCGACAATTTCAATTTATTAAAACAGTAAACTTGGGTTAAATTACTATGTATGGAAATCGAATGTGCAACTAAATCAAATAGTTGTCAGAAGTGGGATTTGAACCCACGCCCACATTCGTGGACCAGAACACTCGATCCTTCATGGAGAAGGCAAGACCAATCTTGAGTCTGGCGCCTTAGACCGCTCGGCCATTCTGACTTACATAACTCCAACTGCTGGTTATGAAAAGGTATTCGATATAAAACAGTAGGTTACAGCATATTCTTTATTTTTGCATTGTTATATTTGATTTTGTAATTCGGTTTATTATTTTACTTATCCTATCTTTACTATCTTCAGCTAGGTTTTGGAATAGATTTTTGTATTTAATGTTGTTTTAATAAAACGTACAGTAATTCCTGCAAATGAAGAATGGCAGATAAATTGGCGTGATGTGGACACGTTAAAAGGCGGGCCCTGAACGTCTTCAAATTGCCTGTCAACTACAGTTACCGCCCTTCAAACGGCCATACAAAGTAACAAAGTGACAAGATTGTCCTAGAGACATCGAATCACTTGTAACTGTCACGTGGTCTTGATCAGTAATTATGAGGGAAAATCCACTCATCTGAAACTGAAAAGAAAGAGATACCTTGAAAGTCGGCTGTCTTCATTGTGACATTCAGTGACACACTGTATGTATTCATTATGTCGGAACCATATGTTGAGAGAGGCCGAGGTAGAAGAAGAAAAGGGTACCATGGAGAGGAGAAGGAAGGAGGGGTAGGAGGGGTAGGAGAGGGAGGAGGAGGAAGGGGAGATGCCAGTAAAGGAAGCAGGAAAGGCCGGGGAAGAAAACGTCGAGAAAAACCGTATCAAACAGGTGAGAAATATGGGCATTATCTTAAACATTTTACTGTATGGTGAGGCAGAAGGACTTAATTTACCCAAAGATGGCGAAATGGTTGTACATTTTTTTTTTTTTTTTTTTTTTTAGATGCGCTCGATATTTACCCATCAAAGAAGAGCAAATTAGCAAAAACAGTCTTAGATGGTGCCCATCTTTCCATGGTCTGTCTTGTGACCTATGTTTGAAGTCAAATGTCCTTGACTTGGGTGTTGTTTCCTTTTCCTGCTGAGATGATGATTGTCAACACGGTGTACATGTACTGCCTTATTCGGCTCGCTCTCTGCCTCTTCTTAGCTGGGGCTTCAGCGGCTTTTCTTTTGATCATTACCCGAATGATAACAAGTAGGACTACTAGTATTAAAATGTGATAAAATCATCACATGATATTCTGGTCATAGACATTGAATTATGTTTGGAGAACTGCACTACAGCGTTGATATACACGTCAGAAAGCAAAGCGCCCCTGGTATTATTGAAATAATACAAATCTTCAGCACAATGTTAATACAGTATTTGGCCTTATTATTTTATATTGCACTGCATTATATATTATATTATATTATATTATATTATATTATATTATATTATATTATATTATATTATATTATATTATATTATAGAGAGGGACCACCATCCCCGGTATGAGCACCACTCACACGCTGAGGACAGGGACGCTGGGAAGGAGGGGTCACGTGGTGCACACAGGGAGGAAGACCATCATGGTGACCATAAGGTGGGTTCGTTTAGAGAAATACTTACCTGTAGCTATAGGGGTGACATTAATGTGTTATGTACTGGTTATGTTGCGATGTTTATGATAATGATCGAATAACCCATCGTGAACATATGCATCTTTAAACGTTTAATAAAGATGTTTGAATACAGAAGTTTTTTTCCCTTGCCGTTTTGTAAGAAAAGAAACTCGGCATGAATCAGAATTGATCGGCATTAACGTCATGCGTGGTCATTATTGAGACAAAACTTCACGTGGGATTGTAAATCACTGATGACTGAGCAGCCATGATTGAAGCTTGAAGAAGAGGAAGCAATAATGTGTTAGGTGAGATAAAGTTAACGGTAGCATTGTAAGACTTGAACCCATCTGGAGACTTCCTACCAGAAATAATGCACATGCTGTCTCTTAAACCACCAAAACGTGTTTAAAAAGTTTAGAGTTAAATTTATAGTGAACAATCAGCAATATATTTTCAGAGACCGTCGCCGGGCCTAAGGCACGCAGACGGTAGGCAGCACGAGCGACAAGGGCACGTTCACAGGCCACGCAGTTTGCCAGCAGCACCTTTACCACACGACTCCCACCATGTGGTCAACGGTCAGCATCCCAAAATGACCGACACTCAGCCACCAATAATAGCCAACGGTCATCCACCTTTGCTGACTAACGGTCAAAGTATCCAGAAGGGTTCTACAGCAGAGATTTTAGACACTGAGCCAAATCCAAAGTCCCCCAAGGTAGGAAAAGATCTGAATGGAACACAAGCCCAAGTACCATCACCTGCGTCTACTTCCGAGATTAAAGAAACCCAAGGAAATCCAAGTGCACTGTTCCCGCTGAAATCACCGAAGGAGAGCGTCCAGGTATCTGTCCCCGTGTCGTCGTTGTCTGATGAAGAACAAGGGACTTTAACGTCAACCTCTGCAGCGTCTTTACGCGTCCGCTCCATCTCGGCCCCTGGGAAACACCCACGTGACCTGCACGTGCAGACCACACACAGCGAGCAGGTCCCTACGTCAAACCAAGACGTCAGATCAGTGGAAGATAATACTGCCGCCAATGACGAGAACCTTTCAGCCTCTTCTGTTTCTCACAGCACGCCACATCTTGAAGAGCAACCGAAAGATTTTTCTCGTCTGATCACCTCGCGTTTGGTAGCCGGTTCAGGACAAACGAACGCGCAAAGCTCTGGGGTTGTGCCCGCTACTTCAGAGATCTGTGCTGGCATAGTCCACCAATACGACAAAGATAATCTAGAAACAAACACGGCTGCCAGCACTTCAGAAAAACCCCTCGACGCTGCCATCTCGTCAGCAAGCCAGGAACACGAGGATGAACATGAAGACAGGAGTAAGATGTCGACGCCAGAGATTCTTGAGATGCCCACAGAAAACGCTGAAGTGCCTGAAAAGGGAGAAGTTACGGCAGTACACGAGAGTCAAATACACCGAACCATGAGTGACCAGAATAGCCGAGGCTCAACACCCGAACTGATTGAAATGCCAGCTGAGGAAATTAGCGAATCTAAAATGCAGGAAGAAATAACCGTTAGTGAAAAGAGTCAAAAACACCAGCAAGTGACCTCAGCTAAGGAAGAGGAGAGTAGAACATCCTCGCCAGAGATTATTGAAACACCGTCAGATATAAGTAACGGGATTATTGAAGGAAGTCAACCAGATCAAAGCACGACTTCTATTGTGGACGACGCCAATACCTCCTCCTTGCTGTGTCAGTATGTAGACCTCCCAAGTTCATACCCGGATTCATTGCCAGAACAGGGTAAAGCGTCACCAGATGTCAGTCGTGAGCAAGACAGCACGGCGAGTGCCAGTATTGTGATTTTGGAAGGTGATGAAACATTTGAGGAATACAGCCGGGCTACGACACCGGATATCATCTCACCAATGGCTCCTATAAGGGAGATAGATCTAGAAGAGTACGACTCCGTGGAGGTTCCCAAGACAACCCCTACAGCTGTTATCACCGTGAATGAAGACGAGAAGGCTCAGCTCTGTGGAAAGGCCTTTGAAAGTCCCAGACCTGAAGATGATCATGTAAATAAACAAGGTACGTAACCACCATTGACATGCGTTGTGACTTTAAGCTTTTTAACTGATAAAAATTGTTTTCAGTGAAAAAAGAATCAGCGTGCGCTTGTTAAACAATGCCACCTGGCGACTGCACAATACTGCAGGAAAGAAGACTTCTTTAACATAGTTGAAACTGGCAGTGATTATAATTAATTTAATCACTTAGAATTGGCCATTCTTAAACGTAATGCTTGAATACTTTAGTAGTGCCATATTTTCAATTTCACACCGTCTTTATCAATTTTGATAATTTTGTAACTCATTTTGATTATTCTCTTTTAAGAATCCGTACAAAATATCTGTTTTCGTTCCAGAAGACGAGGGTGAAGGGGAAGGCGACAAAGCCAAACTTGTGGTGGACAGCCCCGGTAGTCCAGTTCTCTCTGACGACATCTTGATAGAGCTGGAAAAAGCTAAGAATCAGGTCGGGCGATTTATACTTACGTATAAATTCAACATCCTTGTCATATATTTTACTGGCAAAATTTATTCAAGAGTAAGCTGTCGGGGATTTTGTTACTTCCTTGCCTTGCCCCTTCTTCGCTCCATCAGCAGCTTATCAAAGGCTCTTCTTGTTGTTACAAAATGGAAGAAAGACTTGCGCTCAATTTTGTACAATGTAACAGTGAAAAAGTTTCCGGTAGAGATATACCCCATCCATGAATACGCCCTTGATCATATTTAAAATATATACAAGAATACTTTGTGGGGGGGGGGGGAGGGGGGGGTCACGGTCTGAAATCCAATTGCTGCTTTTGCAATTGTGCTTTTTCTAATTTGTCAGATGGCTGGGGAGCCCGTTGTGCCTTCCATGGAAGCAGATTCTCCATCTCCCGGAAAGAACCGCTACAAAGCCTCGGAGAAGACAGGCCTCCTGCAATCTCCTCTCTCCGAACATACCGCCCCGGGCATTTGCTTGTGCTGCACTCTGCTGTGACACTGTCACATGAGTATGACATGAAAGCGACATGTGTGACGTAACAGTGAGACGTACCTTAGCTAACGTTGTTGTTGATTTACTGAATAGCATAATAACAACCATGATGAATCAGTTTCAAATATCACAGTTGTGTATATCTATACAGCATCACGTTCCGTATTTATCACTACCAATCTGCTCAGTGATCCCAAATGAAGGGTAACTCGTCCCTTTTCCCCAAAGTCGATTTTGTCCGTCCTGTTAGCTGACATGAACCTATCATGTTACTACCTTATTATAATTTATACTCTTATATGCATTACTTGAATGTAGATTCTTTGAATTACTCTGTGCTGCATGTCAATTTAGTATTTACTTGTTATACATTTATTCCATGTTTTTGTCATGTTCTGTGTTTATACATGCAGTGGCCACCAGAAGATGACGGCGCAGGCAGTACGTTATATAGGTCGCTTTATATACATGTAAGTCATTTAGCTGAATAATCACTGACATATCAAATATGTTATCCTTGTCAGATATTATCAAATATATTATTATATAACTTTGTTAATTGTTCTATAATATTCAAATAATAATGAAAAATATAAATTTTCATTAATAAATATGGTTATATTTTCCTAAGTTAGTTAAGTGAATAATTATAAGCTGTCCCTAATGCTGCAGATGCTGCGGGGGTCCATTTTTCACCGTAAATAATCCAAATGGTGACATTAAGCTATCATATAGTCTGGGTTGTCACCGGAGACTAAACGCGACCACTTAGCGTCACAACATACTACATAAAGATGCAGTAGCAAATGTATAATTACTTGACGTCTGCTGAACACGTGTAGTTTTAAAAGTTTAATTTGTCTGCATTTCATTTGCAATGCAAAGTCGAAGAAAAATATTTAACGTCAAGTACCACTGGGTGTCGATAACGTTGAATTATGCAATCGGTGTGCTTTCTAAAAATTTAAAAGACCCGTCTAGCGCACTGTGACACCATACTAGTTTCATTTATCCCAGTGATATTTCACTGTTATATTTGCTGTTAGATTTTTGATTCATTGGGATCAGCACGAAAAAAATAATCTCATACTGCCTTTAGGTTTTATTTCAACAAACGCATACTTAAACAACACAGGCAAAAACCCTTCGGAGTTGTTAAGTACAGGATTTTTTAAAACACGATCTTAAATACTAAATACTCTAAAATGACTTTGATTAATTACATTTGAAGATCAACCGAGTTCTTGAAATGCGTTTTAGTGCCATCTTTTCTGTTACAAGATCTCACGAGGGTTGACTCAAATACAACACTAGAAAAGCACTCCGAGAGCGCAGACCTCCGCCTAGGCAGCAATTTTTGATTATTGACTCGGATCACCACCAAAAACTATTCATCTGTTCCTTGGCCCACTTCTGACAGTTCCTGAAAATGTCATCACAATCGGTCCATAACTTTTTGAGTTATGTTGATGACAAACAAACAAACAGACAAACGGGTGAAAACAACCTCCTTGGCGGAGGTAAAAGATGCGTTTCACAAGATAGAAAAATCGTGAAGGTAAAATCTAATTTGCCGATAGGAAGTTCCTGGTCGCTATGTACATGTAGCATAGGAGGAACGTGGTGTGTCCACCTAGGATCTGGACAAAGAGACAATGTTTTTTTACAGTTAAAAGTTAACATCACTCTTATGTATTCCACCATTTCACTTTTCACTGCATGTTACACTACACGTTGCGTTTTAAGCGTTAAAATGATGGGAAATGTTTAAAGCGATACATAAACTACACGTGTCTCCTCCACTTGATGTAATCTATTTCTCAATAGACCAAATTACTTTTTCAATACATGACATTAATGAGACATTTAATAGCCATCAAGTGTGAGAAATGACGGCCATCCATCACAGAGTATCCTGTCCATCTCGGAGGTAGACGCTGGATTACAACTAGTACGGATGTGGCTAGGGCCTGGATATCGGACGCCATGGCGTCTCCCAGATACTCCAACTGGCGACCGAGAAATGTCCTTTAGGTCTATATGAGTTCTTACTTTCAACAAAGTATGCTGTCAACATGTGAATTTATAATACAACAAATAACCGCGGAGTATATTGTTCAGAAGTACATAGCCTAAGTGTGGTTTTCTCACATAATGTCTAATCTTAATTAAAAAGCAATCGAATTAAAAGCGCTGTGTGTTTGGAACAAATCCCTTACATTATTTGGTGGTAAAAACTTTCTATCTAATAAAGATATGTATTAAATGTACTGTGTGTTATATGTACAGGGTACTAAAGGTATGTATTAAATGTACTGTGTGTTATATGTACAGGGTACTAAAGATATGTATTAAATGTACTGTGTGTTGTATGTACAGGGTACTAAAGGTGTGTGCAAGGGGTAGGGGGGACGCTATGGGTGCACTTGGTGAACCTTCAAAAAATCGATCTTTTACACTTTAAATTAACTTTCTTCAAGCCAATATATTGTCATAGACAGAACCTTTTATGGGGGGGGGGGGGCATTTATTGCGGAGTTTACACCATGTGACATCATACTACACGTATATCTGTTAACAACACATATTATGAATTCGTTTGCAATCTTTTGTAAAAGCCGAGATTAGCTGGTATTTATCTTTACACAAGTGGGCTACTTGTTGACGCCCTCCTCGCCTTACGAACTTTTATATCATGGTCTCCATCAATGACACAGACATCATCAACGATGTTGTCCTTAAAACTATTTTTACTGATAAACCAAACAATGGGTGCACATTCCATGAGGTACAGGTTTTTTAAAGCCAAACATAACGCATATGACCTCCAGTACCCTGGGAGTTGTTTAGATAAAGACAACACTTCGGAATTACTGTTGGAATTTTTCTAAACACCATCTAAAAGTGAACAGTCATGTGAAAACCCTTAATGTTTTTTATTATAATAATCATTATTTTTTGCTAAATTTCTTTCTCGTCATTGCTCTTTCAACTTAATGCCACAGTCCATTTGCCCAGTACGTACATGTACTAGCATGTCCCACATTAGATCCAGTTACCAGTGATTACCAGTTTTATGGTCTGGTATATCGTGGATTTGATCGACGACACGGAAATCATCAACTGGCAAGTTAACGGTGTTTGTGTAGAAGATGACACACTAAGTGAGATGTGAACAATTTGTGTGTAACCTGTAATTGTTTCGCGGTTTTAAGATCAAAGACACCTTGGACTGCCACTAGAATAAAGTGTTTTCTTTCTCCAGATAGGACCTATACACTGTACTTAACGCTAGGGTAAATCCGCTGTCCGACGCAGCGTGCACGTAAACATGCAGTAGTAAATATTTTTGACAGTAATACACGTGTTGCAAAATAAAATAAAATACCAAGAAACTGCTCCGACAATATTATTTGAAATCGACAGTTTATTACATGTACAACTGCATTTTATTATGTTTTGTTTCCATCTACTTCAAGCAAATGTTCATGGTGGGTTTGCAGTAGTTCGGGGTAATACTACAAACCTGAGTAGTCTGCTGTGTCATGCAGATGTAAGATGTCGCCATGTTGGTTAGACACAAACCACAACGCTTCCTGGTTGACGAAGAGTGCCCGCAAAGTGTCCTTTGGTGACTGACATTGGGTTAGGATACATGTCATCAAGTGAACAGCCGAGAAAACCCGTCCATGTTCACGTACATACATGTAAAGTAAAACAACAGGTGATTGATGTTGCCTTGTTTATGTTGTCCTCAATGGGTTTGCTAATGGTAATAGGGAAAGAAGAGGGGGTGATAGTGTACTGTTTATGTGAGGTATAGATTTCAATTGGTCCCTGTCTTTACTTGCGTGAAGACAGTTTACATAAAATCTAACATGCGAATCGGTGCGTGAAGAATAATAGGCAACCGAACCTTTTCAGTTGTTTTAATTGTTAGTAGTAAACATTTGAGTAACTTCGTATTGTTCTGTTAATTGTTTATACGGTGTCTTTTTGACTAAATGTTTGTCGGGAATAAAAAAACAGTGAATCACCAAAAACAGTGTTTTCTACGCACAGTAATAAACACTATATCGAATGCTGCCGTATATACATGTAATAGTGCGGACTTGCTACTCTGATACAAGGTGGTAAACAAGGAAGAAAAATTAAAGTTTGTTGACAAAACCTTTCTATGTTAGTCACAATTTACTTAATACCATAGATGGGCAGAGCTGAGACAAGAGAAATACTTTTATTAACTCCAGACTCGATTATTGCATTAGTACATCTTCTTTTTGGTCTAAGTCGTACTCAAGTTAACAAATTGCAATAAAAACAAAATTTTGCAGCCAAGCTATTAAAAAAATGAAAACTATGTACATGTAGTCGAGAACACGTGCCACCCGTGTTAAGAGCACCGAGTGTTGATCAGACAGAAAATATTATCTGAAGTTTGATGTTTAACTAAGAAAAGAGTCACAGAGAAGAAAATCACAAAACATTTCAGAACTACTTCAACCTCTCCAACAGACCAGGGTCGCATTACTGTCAATCATTTACTTTAAGAACATTCTGATCTGGTAACAAATTTTATGGCAAACGAAGATTTACAATATACGCACCAAAGTTATGGGATACTTTGCCTACTTAAATAAGAAAAACAAGTGACTTTGAAAATTAAGGAACTTTTAAAGACCTACATTTTAAAATTTAAAGTTTTATAGTAATTGATAAGTTAAAATGTTTTAGACTTTCTATCTTTTAAACTTAACTTATTGCTACTCTAAGATTTATATAATTATTTAAGAGTATTTGAAAAAAAATGGATTTTAGCTCCATATTTAATAAGTGCTTCTTGCATTCAAATGGATTGACATGGTAGCTACATAAAATTTCCAATTAATCCTTGTAATGCTTTAAGGACAATGATACGCCCGGTTACCGACTCGATACACCCTTACTTATCTTGTAATGGTACATTTTGTTCATTTCTCTTTTTTCCTGTTGTTTCTTTTATTGGCAAGGTCATTGTTTTAATGGATGATGATTAACATCGTTGTCAACATTTAGGTAAGAAAGTTTACGTCATCAGCGCACGGTCTCACTGGCACTCGTACAAATAACTTGAAGATAGCAGCTTCTGGTGCCCTGTATTCTGGACAACGGCATCAACAGTCAATTGTTGTGTTTTGTTATGTATAAGACGTCACTAACGGTCTTATATATTCTCCTCCATAATTTAAAGTTAATTTGTCAGTATTTTTAATTCTTTAAAAAATGAGGCACCAGCGGTGTTCGGTGAACTGGTTGAATCATTACTTACCCTTTTCAGTGAATTTTCATATTTTTCAAAAAAAGATTAATGTGTAAAACTGTAGCATCACATTTTAAAAACTTTTTTTGTGCTTTTACTATTTACGTCCTACAATGGTGAACCTATAGACCATTACACCGAATAACATTTCTGAGAAATTTGATAAATTAAATTACTTTATTTGGTCGCTATAATTGGCATCAAAGAGAAAAATAAACAATTTTATTGAAGTTTCATTATGTAAACATTGTGGACGTTGATCCCAATAAACGTTATCGTGACTCAGTTAATATCCAAACAAATGAGTCCACGGAACGCTTTTCACCTGTCCACGCAGTTAAATCTGCTGAGTCAATCTTCTCATCCAACACGTCACAGCGCGGAGAGCGTGCACCTAAGTAATTAACTTAATGCGTTCCCTTCACGCATGAAGGAGACGACCTTTCACCTTGATGCTAATTTCTTTGTGATAAGCAGATATATAAGGCGCACGCTCCACGGTTTTCTTTAAGAACAGAAGCAAGAGAATACTGAAGATAACAGTTATTACCAAGGGTGAGTACATGGTTAATACTTTGCTGGAAGTTGTTTGGTTTTAGCGAGCTTGTATGAATTTATTTCGGTAAAAGACACACTTGTTTTCAACGTGTAAGCGATAACGACTATTGATGCTACGACGATGCATAATAACGAAATAAAACTTTAACATTACAAGCCTGTGTTTAGTATAGCCGCTGTTAGAAATCTTCCGGTTACTACATTACAAAAAAATGCTATAAATGTGGAAATGTGTTGTAAGTCTCAATTTTGTTTCTAGAAGCGGTTTCAATCAGCGCCGATACATTTGTTTAGCAATTCTAACTGAGCTTACGTTTCTCATATTTTCCAATAATTCATAAAGCCCTGTAATTCTGCAACTTAATGCAGATTGGCTCAGTTTTATTTATTACAATATGAAATTATTTGTAGGAATAATTATTTGATTGATATTACAATCGACGAGAATGAGTTGGACGCCGTTCGCCAGTCTTGTAGCGCTGCTCATCTGCATGGTACAATCACCGCAAGCGGCAGTAGGTAAGCTTCATCTTCCGGCTAGACGCCTTATAGCTCCCTGGTTACAGGGGAGTAGTTTTAATGTTGGTAAATAAAACAAACGCCCAGAAACGAAAACTTAAGACATGCATTAACGCTCTTTTTGTTAATGCATTTAACGTCAATCTTGAATTTATGTTACCCGAGGTTGAATACGAATGTCAACGCGCCTTCACTAGCTACTGATTACTCATTTTCCCAATTGTGCACGAACCTTCAAGTTTTACTGTATTTTAACAGGTTACCATGTCGTTTGCTACTACACCAACTGGTCTCAATACAGACCGGGCTTAGGAAGATTCCGTCCTAACCATATTGACCCCAACCTCTGCACCCACGTCATCTTTGCTTTCGCACGTGCTGACAACAAGCGGCTCGCGCCATTTGAATATAACGACAACGGTAAGACACTTTCTGATATCTCACTCAAAACAGAAGTTCTGTTGACGTATAGTGCGTTGTAGTGGCTACTGAGGACAGAGATGGCAATAACGAAGCTGAGTCATAAATAAATTGTATCCGAAAAACCGTCAACTCACAATTGTTAAGATGCGTTTATAAGTTGAATCACTCAATTGCCATTAATAGTAAATTGGCTCAGATGGCAATGAATGTAACTAACGTCTGAAGTAGCCAATAAACGACTCAGACAAGCCGTCTTAAGAATTAAATCTTTAGAAAAAAATACGTGAATTAAGATTCTAACGATTTGAGAGAGGTGTAATGTCGATTTTCAAAAACAAACAGTGTTACAATGATGTTTATTTAAAAGCACCAAACGAGCAATTTGTGGTTTATCATCAAGACCGCAAACCATATTGAGTCATTATCTCAAATCACTGTCTGAGCTGCCTTAAAGAACTTTAAAAGTAATTTTACCTGGTGAGGCTTGTTGATAAGCTATAAATACATACTGTTAGAATGATTTGTTCAATTTAAATGTGTTTATCCCACGTTTTTTTCTAAGAGTATATTCAGAACAGCGAACTAACAGATGGTCGGCCATATTTGATCCGCTGATCTAATAGTCCACTGGTCTAAATGGGCTCTAATATATGTGAGATCTGTTTCTGCTTCTTGATCATATTAATTACATGTTTTATTTCATTTTAGTTCTGTACAAGGAACTGGAGGCGCTGAAGAGGCAGAATCCCAGACTGAAGACTTTACTGGCTATAGGGGGGTGGAACGCAGGTGTATTGCCGTTCACTCAGATAGTGAGATCTCCCCAGTCACGGAGAGCGTTCATCACACAAGCCATCCGTAAGTTACCTCTCCCCTTTAAGATAAACCTGTTGATTAAATAGGGAAATCGTTCTGAACTATTTTCCTCTAAACCCTTGTTCGCGTAATGTACTTCTGCGACTGTGCAAACTTCCCAAGGGACCAACTTAAAACTTTGGAAAGTCCCCAAAGTCGGAAAATAATTTCTAAACCCAGTTTTAGTTTGGTAGGCTACTTATGCATGCTATTTGCCATGCCGTTTGACAGATTACCGGGTCTGACCTGTTTATCCAGCAGGGTGAATATCTGGGTATTTACAACGGGTATTACGCGTTTGTCACAAAGAGCGCCAAAACATTAAAACACTTAGTAAAGACATCCCATTTACTAAATCTTCAATTAATTATCTAGGAGCAAGAACGACGTTTACCCCAAAGGGTGTTATGTCAAATTAACGCAATTGCTATCGATGGAATGTAAAGGCACTGCACTCATTATTAACTCATTAAATACAGCATTTCTGCTCTTTTTCGGTTCTTTGCATCTAATTGAATAGTTGTGTAACGGTTATCTTATGTCGACATTCAGCACCACTGGGGATTTTTCCCGATGATGAAAATACACGGCAGCAGTGCTAAGGTGACATGTTCCTAGTCTGGAAATGGATAATCTTAAGATCACAATCTGTCCCTTACGCCGATTTGTCACCCAGACAACTTATGCAATCAAAACTTTATGCAAAATTTGAAAATGAACAAGCAGTTGTTTTGTCACTATAATAACATGTCTATCATATCAGCAGGCACTTTCTGCCCTGTGTTTTGACGGGGCATTAGCTGCTTTACATAACTATAGGTTCGATATCAAATTGCAGTGGTACTGAAATGTTCTGATTTCATGTACTTTTATTCATCCTTACTATCCGTTTTACTCAGCACGGAGATGAAAACTTTGAAGGCAATGAGAGACCATATCCTCACGTTGATATTATTGTTATTTACAGACTATCTCCGAAACAACAAGTTTGATGGCCTCGATATCGACTGGGAATATCCGGGGTCACGTGGTAGTCTCCCCAAGGATAAGATTCTCTACACAGTTTGGCTGAGGGTAAACGTCATGTTTTTCATTCGTTTTAAATTTTGAAGATATGAGCGCCCTTTCCCCGATTTCTTCCATATATGGTCTTTAAATAACTAACAATTAAGTCCTTTTAATAAGTATTTTTGTTACTTTTGACAATGAGATGATTGAAGTAATGTTTTGATACCATTTAGTAATTCTCTGAAATTAAGGGTTTTCCAATAATAATAATAATAATAATAATAATAATAATAATAATGATAAATTGATAAACAAAAATAAATGAAATTTAAAAATTAAGAAAGAAAGGAACATGATACACTGGATTCGCCATTTTTTCTTCCTAAATAACGACTCCTGATCCCGTTCTATCACTAGGAACTGAAGGCAGCATTTGAGCGAGAAGCGCGTCAGGTCCGCCGTCCACGCCTCCTGTTAACAGCCGCAGTGGCCGGGGGTCAGTCCTACATAGACGCCGGGTACCAGGTGGCCGAGATTGCAAAGTAAATATTTTGGCAACCTTTTTATTAATGTGTAGCGCAACTAAGGGAACAATACATGTGGAAAGGTCTTCATTAGATAAGTGGGTCCATGGATACAGGCTGTGTCTTCCTGTAAAATCAGTTAAATTCTAAGGCCAACAAAATACTCATGAAATCTAATTAACAAATTGACCAGAACTTTTGGGTGAAAGAAATAGGCCTACACACTTAGCGGATTTTAGCATTACTCGTATACCATGCATCTAAACGTACATTTCCTTTGAGCTATAGGTATCCACGTGCTTGCATTTACCTGGCCTTATTCTGCTATTAATGTTGTGTTCTTTCATTCAGGTACTTAGACATGGTCAATGTGATGAGCTACGACTATCATGGCGGCAGTTTTGAGTGGGGAAGGACAGGACACCACAGTCCGCTGTATGATAGCGGCACCCTTCACCAGGTAACTATATAGCAATGATATACAACTTTATATGTGGTATGTATACTACCGGTGTCACGTTATATATAAATTATGCTGTAAGTGATTGCATTAACATTATGACTATCATATTTTTATCAAATGTTGCATTCTTTGTATCGCTGAACAAAAATTGGCACCGACAGCCATTTTCCAGCTACATGTGTGCCTGTCTATGTATTTTACTGATATTCACTGGCATGACGCTTACACCTCTTTATACTTTTTTTATTTACCTAATATATTTCAATGTACTCACAGGTCAAGTGTTGTCACATGCCAGTATGTTGTAAATTATGTTTTATATAACATATATTCATGTATTATTTACATCCCTCTCCAGGACTGGTCAATACGGTACTGGCTCAGGAATGGCGTACCTAGTCATAAGCTACTGATGGGAGTCGGTTTCTACGGGAGAACTTTCCGTCTTAAGAGCGCTCAGAACCACGCGGTGGGCGCCCCTGGCGGAGGACCGGCCGAGGGAGGACCGTACACGCGAGAGCCGGGGTTCTGGGCGTACTACGAGGTAATTAAGGGTTGAAGGGTTACTACGTCTTTAACAGTACCAACGCATATGACACGGCGTTGTAGCTGCCGACTGTCAGGTATATTTATGTAAAACCCATATTTAGAGAATGGTGGATATACAGGATGAGAAACAAACATTGTATCTACAGTTCTGGTCTAGTGCAGAGATCAGTGACCCTAGACTTATCTTCTATCTGGTTTTATGTCTCTATACTGAGCACAATTGTTTTCTAAACGTCTGAAGTAAAACATCTGCCACATTCAGCCACCAAAGAGAATATCATATAATGGATGCCTTCCATATTTCATAAAAATCTGGAATCAAATCGTGTCGAGACAACGTGTGAGCGGTTACCCTTTAGTTCTGTACACTTCTGTGTATTCCAGTTTTGCTCAAAACATAAGAATGGTTGATATCTGATAATACGGGGTATAATTACTAGTACCTTAGAACCCTCCTATATCATGTAATGTACTTAATGTGATTTTTACCAGATTTGCTCCAAGATCAAAGACTGCGGCTTCCAAGAGGAGTGGAGCAGCAGACACGGGGTGCCCTATGCTCACAGAGACACGCAGTGGGTGGGCTATGACAACCCTAAGAGTATCGCTGCCAAGGTGGGTGGGTCGCCTTCAGAGTGTATTAGCATCTATATCTTTCTTTTTCGTGTGAACCATCTGTTATGTGTATCTGCCTATTTTTTATGATTGAATTTGTTGTGTTCAGGTGCAAAAAATACATGTAAGAGGTAACTAAAAAGATTGAGTTATTTTAGGTCCAAAATGTAAATGTGAAATATGTGTTTTCACGCGAAATAAAAAATGTTAACCATGTGCATAATACCATGGTGTGTGATGCACAGCAAGTTGAGACAACTGTCATAAGTCAGAGAAAAAAAAACAAATAAAAAAAGGCTCAGTGTGTTTTAGTGAGAGATTTTATCTACTTTGTGTTCTTATAGAAATTGCCAAAAATATTTTTATTATTGTGCAGTTTCTTGTTACTTCCGCAGGCGGCTTATATACGTAAACTGAGGCTAGGTGGCGCCATGGTCTGGTCTCTAGCTCTGGACGACTTCACGGGGTCGTTCTGTGGCCAGGGGAAATACCCCCTACTGACCACTCTTAACCAGGGTCTGGCAGGCGCTAGGACAGTCCAGTCCCTGGCACGACAGCGTCCCATGCCCCGCAAAGGTAGGTTGTTTAACCTCTGACTGGCGTTCAATATAAGATTGTAGTTGTAAATTTATATGAAATTAACACGAAGCGAAGAATGCTGGCTGCTGTCAATCTTTAAGATACACATTTAAACAAATGTTAGATAAACACATTTTAATAAATATTGGATGAAATCATGGAACACTACGTACTATACGCACATTCTTTGTGTAGATTATCACTCACTTCGTATTTAGTTTCTCGTTAGAGCAAGGGCAAAGAAAACCCGTCTGTGATATTGGCAGCCGTACAAATACGTGTTCTATAACCTACATGTATCTGTATCCCATCTTTGTGCCAATATTCTCACTTGTTGTGTTGGTACTCTATCCACCCTAAGGTAATACTAACAAGTGCACCATGGTGTCGTACGGTGAAGCCACCAGCGGTCAACAACCGCCTCCTGCCAGCGGTGACAACGCAGCTGCACCCCCAGTAGAAGCTAAAGAATGTCCAGGTATCACCTGTAAATCTGACGTTATTAGAAATCCAGAAAAGAAAACGTTCAGGCACATCTACTGAAGTTTGCCGTGTGACTAAATTATCACTGATGGTTTAGGCATCTTTTCCTGTTTTCTTGGTGTATTTCTCTCTCTCTCTCTCTCTCTCTCTCTCTCTCTCTCTCTCTCACACACACACACACACACACACACACACACATCTAATTTCTTGCTTTCCATTTTGTCAAGTCGATTTAATGTTTTCGGTATATTTCAGCTGGCGTCTACTGTCACGAGCCCGAGGGTCTGTACCCCCACCCTGAGCGGTGTAATCAGTTCTGTCATTGCTGGAAGGGAATACCTTATGAAAAAAGCTGCCCCGGTGTCCTTAACTACAACGCCGCCGTCGGGACGTGTGACTGGCCTCTTAAAGTCAACTGTAGAGTACAACTTAGGAAAGCAAAAGAAGACGCCAAAAAGGCACCAGCACGTATCCGGCGGACCACCCTTCCTGCACCTGTACGCGTCCGCCAGACCACCCCTGCTGTTAAACTGGCGCTGCCCGAGTTTAACCCGAATCTGCGTCCAAGGAAGTTTGTAAAAGGACGGAATTGCGGCAGTGGTAATTATGATTACAAGCCAAATATTGATGTATATCCGAATCATAACTATAATAACTGTGCGTATTTATGTTGGCATCGTATGACGTGATTTCAATGATTAAAACGTCACCCAAACTTGCTGAAAGCACTGAACACACTTGTCTAACAAACGCAACAGTCACGTGACTGTGAGTTAAGACGTGTTCAATATATCCAGGACCGTCATAAAGTGTTTAAAATGATATGTAAAGGTTTTAAAAAGTTAATTTGTAAATTTTGAAATATTAAATTTCTATTTCATTATATTTCAGTAAAATGCAACCCTGATGGTTTTGGTCTATTTCCTCACCCAGGTAGCTGTGATAAGTTCTGCCAATGTTCACATTTTATACCATATGAACAGGATTGCCCGCCAGGTAATATGTTTTTTCCAAAAATTTCTTTTTAATATTTTGTTGCTCTGTGGCAGTCTCTGTCTCATGTTGGTGGTCTTTCATTGTGTTACAACTACAGTGTGTCTTTTCCCGTGTTCACGCCATACACTGATGTATGACCGTTGTATGTATGGCCATGTTCAACGTTCTTACAATTAAATACAAGTAGCACCCAAATCACATCCCCTTTCCAAGGTGAAATATAATAAAAGAAAACTACTAACCATTTATATGTTATAGTTATATGGATGTGCAAGTTAGTATCCAAACAAATAAAATAATGGGTTTTCATGCGCTATATGTTGAGTTGACGTAACAAAAGAAATATATTATTGGCCACAAAGCTAACAGGTACCATGTATAAATGTGTACACTGTATACACATGGGTGGTGCATACATTGTGGTTTGAAGGAAATCTGATAAACAGTACATACACTAGTAATGTTTTTTATTTGTAATTCCAGGTCAATTTTTCGAACCTGACCCTTCAAAGTTGTGGTGTGACTACGTATCGTCGGCTTGTCCTAACCTGGCAGGCTTTTGACGTGAAGGAACGTAACATGTGTTAGGAAGGAAAAGATCACCAGACTGCATGTTTTTACTTCCCTGGCCACGGCGTCTGAAGGGGATGTGACCAACAAGATGGGTGTTAGTATGTGGAGAGGTATCGGCCTGGCGTAACTCTCATCCGCATCACGCGATAGGGATTTAAGGTTTCCAATAATACTCCGAACAGTATGGTCGATGTAAAACTGCCCTTGGCGCTGTAGGCAATGAGCTACGACATGAACGAGTATTAAACGTAATCAGCTTCACTGACGTGTAGTAGTTGACTTAACTATTAATAACATGTGCCGATTGACGTAATCAATGTACAGAGCACTGTACTACACGCCAGACATGGGGATTGGCACGCCCCAATAGAGAACGTACTTCTGGTTGTTCTATACCGATGGTCATATCAGAAACTTCTTAGAAACTACGCCGTGTGGGTCACTATTTTAAGATTACAAGCCGTTATAAATATGTAAATATGTAAGAAAAATATATGTGATGATGATGTATATACAGTATTATTTTTGATGCACATGTATGATTATGGCACAGAAGCGATGTATTCATGTATTTAAAATGTATCAAATAATAAAGTTCTTCTTCTTTGATTTAAGATATCTGATTCCATCCCCTTATTGATACACAGAATGAAACAAAATGCAAAAATCATAAGAGCGCGTTTCACCGGGCTTGCAGCTGCTTTGAGAACGAATTTTTGCCAATTCTCACTCCTTTTAAAGTTTGGTGTTTGGTAAAATGTGATAGTCAACATCAATTGCACTTGACATCAGTGTTTAAACATTTAAATGAATTTATTAAATATAATGAGTCTACATGTACAGTCTACATGTACAAGAAACGTTATTGGTAATTTATATTGATCATCCAATAAATGGTACATGTGAAAATCTCGAGGAAAATAAGATGGTATACAGCTGCCTATGCAACCGTAAAAAGAAGTATAACACTTCTGATTGCCGATGTAAATAAGGGGCCATTCCCACAGATATTTGGATCGATCTATATCCCTGAGGAGTCTCACTAAATTGCTGTCAACATAACCGGCTTAAATGTCTGTCACGCCTAGTAAAGCTGTTCAGGGGTAATTATCTTTACCCTAGCTGATTCTTTAGGCGTGATATACATTTGAGCCTCTTGAGCTGATAGCAATTTAGCGTGAACCCCCAGGAAGTTAGGTCGATCTAGATGGATCGATCTAAGTATGGGAACCCAGTCTGAGAGTGCATTCCCATAGATTTTTAGATCGATCTGTCCCCGTGGGGAATCTCACTAGATTGTTGTCAACCTGACCGGCTTAAATGTCTGTCCCGCCTACTAAAAGCTGTAAGGGGGTAATTAACTTTTGTGCGCGCTCGGCTCTTGGAACCTGACAGCAATTTAGCGTGAACTCCCAAGGAGTTAGGTCGATCCGGATAGATCGATCTAAATCTATGGGAACCCAGTCTAAGTGTTCATTCAATTTTGACGACTACAGCCAGGTGGTTGTGACACAATGCGGTTGGTGTGCCACGATAATTACGTTATACAGCAAAACTGTAACGAACTTTAGAACAGGTATTTTTAATTTAATTCGCCCAAGCACTGAGTCAGGCCAAGACGAACACTCATAGCACCTTCTTTTACTTGACACTGAAGTCCATTGCGTTCACACACCTGGGAACACGTTTCTCTTTGTGATTGGTCAGAACTAAATAATTAGATTTAAAATGGAATAAAACATCAAATCCAAGCTCGAGGACAAGAAGCAGAAACTTACGTTTCTCCGAGGAAAATTCATTTTGGTTGGTAAATCCCGTTCAGAGTACCTTCTTTTTTTCTCTCTCTCTCTTTATCTTTATTGCAACCTCAAGGGTTCATGACATAAAAAATGCATACATAAAATCGCACCCGTACCCATAATAAAACCGATGATAAAATCATTGCAGAAGCGTGATAAGATCATTCTTAAATATGACCAGGTTGAAATATTAGACAGAAAAATTAGTAAAAAAAATAAATAAAACATAAAAAGCTTTTGTTAAAAGTAGCACCTTGTTACATTCGATAGCGCCCGCATTGTATCCTGGAGGGTTAAATATTGAGCCTGGCGAAGGAATATGACGGGTAGGAGATGTGTTGCCAGACCAAGGCAAGCAAATATTTCATCAAATATAAAAATGCAATGTATCTTACTTTGTTTCCAGATAGAGAACACTTTTATTATCAAATCTTTAGTAAAGTGGAAGTCAGAATGGCCGAGCGGTCTAAGGCGCCAGACTCAAGCGTTGACTTTCCTTCTACATGAAGTATAGAGTGTTCTGGTCCACGAATGTGGGCGTGGGTTCGAATCCCACTTCTGACAACTACTTTTTATTCACTTGGGGCGAAGAAAGTTATTACATATGCAATTACTAGGTCCACATTATATTAGTAGTGAGTGCGAAAAAGACAAAATGTCACCAATGAACTGCATGTACTTTCGGCGTGGGAGTTCAACCCCTTCTCCAAATAGACACTTTGGGTGAAAATAAAGGACGTTCTAGAATATGACTTAATCTGCACAGACTTTCCCAACTGCCTAAAAATTCAAATAAAACTTCTTTATCGCTCAATCTTGAAGCTCGTACTAACTCTTAGTCTTTCTAAGCTACACATTTCTTGCTTTTGTGCTGATTTTGAGTTATAATTTATCACAAGTATTTTTTGTTTTTTGTTATATACACTGTGCAGGCAAGTGCTACTCTTTTAGTCAGGAGATTTTATCAGGTACTGGATAAAACTGCTAGTTGATATTTTGGGAGTGATCGCACCTGTATTGCATTCCCAATGGCACAGTTTAAACAACAACACACCGACTTGAAATTTTAAACTTTATTGGTTACTGACTACACTAGAAATTGATACTGATTGTTCCAAAACCAGAACTAACACATTTAACTACAATCAATACCAATTGCTACAAGCTTTAATAAGTACAGGTACCGAAGCACTCCTCTTGGCCTGCAACACTACCAGTACCTGAAACCAGGAGTCCAAATAGTTAGGAGGAATATTTGGCATAAATTTTACATTTAACGTTGTTTACGTTAAATAAGATAAATTAATAAGTATTCCAAATGGATAAGGCATATAAAGTTGGTTTTGCTGTATAATTAAAGACATAAAATGCGGATATCTTCACCGGTATTGGTGTATATTTAATGATATAAAATGTGGTATTTTGTATTTTCTGTATAATAAGTCATGTTAGATATGATATCTGATAAAAAACAGCACTTTTTAAAAAGGTTTATCGCCTGTGAACAAAAACACATTGGATTTGGGGTGGAACAACCTTTTTGACCAAGGCTGTGCACGCACCGCGCGGTTCTTGTCTGTGCGTGCTGCACGTGTTTACACTGTTCCAGGGCAGCGATGTGGCGTCTTTATCAGATATATACAAGCACTTGTGGGGTGATGCTTATACCAGTCCAGCAGACGAACCAGACGTTACATAACCAGAGGTCCGCCATGGCTCCGAGAATATCACGTTGGACTCCAGGCATCATAGTGGGTGAGCACTAGCATTTTACACCCAAAATGATCCGATTCCAAAACAAAAAAAAAATGACAAAACTTGGGGACTTCATATATTTTTCTTAAGTAAAAAAAATGACAGTCCTGAAAACAGTTATTTTGGATGAAATCAGAAAATTAAGATCAGGTGAAAACTTTGGTCAAATACCAAACCAAAATCAATTTGATGAAACTTCTTGTATTTTTGTCTTCGACTGTAAAGCTCACTTCCACCATGTCTTCCAGTGCTCATCCTGCTGAATGCCAGTTGTTTACTGACACAAGCTCAGCAGGATCCGTGTGTCTTCTCAAACCACTACCGGCTCCAGGACGAGGAGAGAAATTATAACACCACGGCGCGTTCGTCAGGGACGGTAATCTGTGACCGTGGCAGGGCCAACGCATGGTACAGGTAAGACATGTTTGTAAATACGTTATTGAAGAATGATGAAAAATTAATTAACGAATGGACGGACAAAGGAATGAATGAATGAATGAATGAATGAACAAATAGATAAAATCGAACATATATTGAAAGGAAAGATGAATAAAATAATCTTGAACATATCATTTACAGGTCTAAAATATGTTTGTTTCAGTGTACAATTTTAAATCCATATTTTGTTTTCTTGGCATATTTACATCATTTTCAAGCTAATCAGTATACTTTGGATCTTCAAATAAAAATAAAAATAAACCATGTGGGAATACATTTTTAAAAATAAGCTGCATTTAAAATATCAATTTTAGTTTTCTTGGTTTGTAAATCTTATTTCGCGTAGGTTCTTAGGAAATGCTGGGGAGCGTATGGCAGACGAGTCCTTCAAGTCATTTCCGGCACGCTCCTGCTCAACTGAATCGCCCATATTTTTGGAGGGAAAGCATCCCACCGCCGCCACCATGTCACCGGGACAGGTAGTCACGAAGCATGCCGCGTTCAAGTATTTCGGTGTGACGTACTACCACCCACTGTCCACTTTAAGTGTAGAAATTAAGAACTGCGTTGACAACGGGCATCAGTATTTCATCTATAAACTTCCAGTTGTACCAACTTGTAACATGGCATACTGTGGAGAAGGTGAGTGCGCATGCGCAGCTTAACCATTCACTGCCCTCCTCACTGGTTGAGCTTTTAGTTTACTTATACGTTGGAAGCAATAAATGTCTCAAATGAAAAAGAGAAAATAAAATTAAACTCTCATTCAAAGACTCATTTTGTATTTCAAAGTGCATTCTGTAACAAAATGTGCAGGAATTTGTTTCAGTTCCACTGACAGAAACCTATAGGAGAGTACTGTAGTACAAGTTTTATGTTTTATGTTTTATCGTAGTTGGTATTATGTTGTAGGCCAAGGACCGATTCCTTGTAAAGTGGATGAAATACCTTTCGCAGTGAATGGACAACGGATATGTGTTGGTATGTTTATCAATGTTTGTATTTCCCTTCCTTTTTCTCGTTTACTATTGCTTTTTCCATACTTTATCATTATTAATTATATATTTTAACAAGATTATAATGTTCTGGAGCTTGTAAATACAATCTGTAAAGATATAAACACCTTATTGTTTATTTCATCATAAATAATTCGATTTATATTGAGTACATGTACATGCACATGCATTTGCACACCAGTCAGGTGGTTAACTCGACGAAGGCAATTTAATTTTGCGAAAAAAAGAGGTAAGTGTATTATCGAGAGGGTATTCTTTATTTACTAGTATGTCTATCCTGAGAATATTAATTCTCGTAGACAGAAACTTAACATACAACCCAGGGAAAAAGTCACGCTGCCACACTGTTTTGCTGTGAGTGTTGAACGTGTTCAGGTTAACCCCGTCATACGTATACCTCGTGGCAGGGACACATGAAGCAACCGATAGTGGAGTTAAATGGAGGAGTGATAAGATGAAAAGGTCATCGTCGCGGGACCTTGTTCACAAACACATGCTATATGTCATTGCTCGTTTCGTCCTAACAGACAGCCGTGTGACATACATTGTATTTAGCTATTGTATTCAGTTGGGAAAAGAGTGGAAAATAAAAACATAATGCATGGTAGAAAAACCAGTCAAATTCGACGTTGTCTTACAAACGACGCATTGACAAGCACACGTCACATTCAAATGCCTGTATTTATTCGATTTAAATCCTGGATGATCACAAAAATGGCCTGGGTCAGTAAGCTCAGTTAGGGGTACCGGTACATTCATGGATAAAAACCGTGTGATACTGCTCCCAAAGATGTTTGTGTTTTCAGGAGATCACCCTGATTTCAAGACGGTCAGCATCTCGGCACCCGTCGTCGATGGCGCAGATTTTTTCTTTCACTGTGAAATTGATTGGAAACCAATCCCTGGCCTAGAGACCAATGCTAAATTTGAGGTAGTTACTGATGATGTGTAGTATTGTATAAATATCGTAGTGTACGCCTTGAACTGTAGGAAGTGACATCAGTCAATTTTGCATTCAGGCTTCGATCAATATGCTCTCTTAATGTCCGTGGTATTTTTAGTGGAAGTGATAGTACTGTTGCTGCAAGAGTATGTTATACCTGTGCCACATTAGCCACAGCAAATCGGTTATTTGAAATAATCCCTCAGGATACACTACATTGTAAATGATTTACTGATTTTCTACATTTTTGTATGGTGAGATATAAAAATATTTTTAAGTTGCCTGAAATTTAAAGACTTAACCACATTCTCTTTCAGATGGAATTTATGGCCAATGGGAAGGTCATTCACACGATGCCTGTGGACCACACCACCAACTTCACAGGAAAGATGCACCACAGACACCTAATTGGTCATCTACAGAAAGACGTGAATACTTTCACTTACATATTTAAATGAAATTGTGTTGATTCTGATGAGTACTTCAAGCACAGATTCCAACAAATAAGTTGACATAATTAAAAAGAATAAAATAGTTATTAAGAATATTTTCTACAGCTGACGATGATAAAAAAGAGTAGCTTTGTATATTAGGATCGAATACGATGCTTTTAATGCTCTCAATATTATACTTCTTCAAACAACGTGTTTTCCCTCAGATCAGCTGCCGGGCGAAGAGCTATTGGGCCAGTAACCAGCACCTGGGCATGACGTCATTTGTCAACTCTAAAAACGACTACTTTGCTGGGGTTAAGGTAAGTGGTAACACCTACTACATCCACGTCTTCGGACATGTCTGTACTGCAACCAGCTAAACAAACACTAGTTGACAAGCATAGCTTTATCTTTACTGAGTCAAATGTATTGGTTCTTTCTCTTTGTTTTCCTTTTTTCATTTGTTAATTGCGCTATTTTTAATCATTATTTTGAATTTTGCTCAAATCGCTGCTTGAAACCGACGAAGGAGGAATGATATAATGCGTGAATGATATATTTATAGCTTGAGATCCAATTGAAGTTTACCTTAACATGTTATTTGATATGATTATATCAGATCTTTAAGAAGGGGACGACAACTGAAGTGACCACAGTCACATTGGACAAGGCAAAACTGAAACCATTCGAAATCGAGCTGGCTTCAACCATCCCTATAACCAAGTCCTTTAACGGGAACCACCAAGGTGAAATGCATATGACAGTTTCCACCAACGAGAAGACGCTGATGCTGCACCATCGTTGTACAACTGCGTTCCACGAGACGGACTGGAGTGCCCGCCATAAGAACCACGTGGTGGCCAAACCTCCCCTGGTGATTTACCCTGTGTATGACGGTAAGACCAGACTGCTGCCCTCCGCCTGGCCCCCCAGGGAGCTGAGCTTTGACAAGTTGATGTTCAGGCTCCCCTTTAATCCTGCCATACCCGTCAGTGTGTGGGACGGGTTCCATGTCAAGTCTTTGAAGGTAAACAGACGCAGAAATTTAAGGCGCCATTCATAATAGATGATCCGAGTACTAACTGATCCGCCGACTAAATATGGCCGACCACACTTCAAAAGCGATGCCGCCGATTCCCAGTGGTTTCCCCGCCTCCACATGCGCCATTAAACGGATTAAATCTCGGCTCCGAGGTTTAATTGCTAGGCCCCTGCAGCGACGGTGCGTGTGGAGGTGGGGAGACCATCATGGAATTAGCAGTGTCGCTTTTGAACTGAGGTCGGCCATATTTAGTCGGCAGATCAGTTAGTACTCGGATAGTATCTATTCTGAGTGGCCCCTAATATTCTGTGTTTTCTGAAAGTTGATCTGAAACAGGAGTTAATGGGTGTTCCTTTAAACTTGCCTTGACTCATTTTTAAACTGATACATACCACTGAAGTGAAAGAGTCATTACATATACACAAGATACTTTTTTGCAACATAAATATCGCTTTTCAAAAAAGACTCTCACGTCAAATAATTTTAATTGTGTTTAGATATTCACTGTAGTCAAATGTCTGTATGTAAATGTGTTTTACACCCAATAAAGTGAATAGGGGTGTTAAAGTGAGGCAATTTTCATCGGTTTTAATTAAGAACCAATTTTAAATTACTTAAATATTTATATTTTCATATCCACAGGTCAACATAAAAGACTCCAGCACAAGTGAGTGCAGCTCAGTCAACGACCCTCATATAAGATCCTTCGACCGCAGGTAGGCGATCTACGGCTCTCTATGGCCGCTTTAACAAAGAACTCTTGACCGATCGATCATCTGTCTTGCGTTAACTGACCTTGTTATTTACTTTTACTCAAGACAAAGTGCATGCAGTAGTCTTATAAGATAAAGTAGCTGCTGGTCTTAAAACATTAAACATGCTTATCATGCTTTATAATAGGAACCGTATTTCATTCATGTGAACCGCACTGATATGTCCTGGGATAAAGTGGAGAAATAAGTTTGGCTTTAATATCAACAGCAATTTTTGGCACATGGTTTACTTGAGAAGCATTAACCATCGTCTATTACACAGCATAAACAAGATCCACACAGATTGCTTCAATAGAAAATAAGATGACCAAATCACTACGTTTTCATGTTAACAGTTGTTAGTGCCCCATCATCATTCGTTTTGTCGTTTTGTTACATGTTGTCGTTTTGTTACGTGTAATTTGTAATTCTGACAAACACGGACTTTTTTTCGTTTTTAGATATTTTGACAACCATGCTCTTGGTGAGTTTATCATGGCAAAATATGTCGGACCCAATACTTACTTTGAGGTAAGCGGTTGGCAAGCGATGCTGTTCTTAACACAAGCGTGCAGGTACAACTTAAATGATATACACAAATATCCGGAAGCAGAATTTTTGTTTAATATTTTCAGTTCGTTACAGAATAGAAAATATATTATTGCTTTAATGTTTAACGTTGTACAAGAATTCACCATATTAATTAAAAGTGTATTTGGATAATGTCGAAGGTTCGCACCCAGCATTGGCAGTGTTCGAAATCCCGAGCAAAGTGCAATTGCGGAGTGGCCGTCAGAGAAAACAACGATATATTCGTCATCAACGCCTGCCGAGGTCAAAGTGGGGGTATGGCCGGAGAGCCGCTGAATCCCCAGGTGTGGACGCGGTCAGCTGATAACTGTGGTCACGGGACCGGATGTCCAGCTCCTGGCGCCGCCATTCACAGAGACGGGAACGGGAAAAGCTTCAAGGTGGGTTTGCTGAGAGGAATCTGCAGTGTTGTCCATGTGTTTCAGAGGTTCACACTGTGCTAAGAGCAAATAATACAAAAAATTAATTGAAGACATGTAATTTTTCACGTGGCTAAATGATAAAAGCCCGCTTAACTGAAATGTACAGAGTATCCTTAGATAATAAAGGGAACCGGAGAAGATCAGCATTGGTCAGAATTGTGCCGGAAGTGACGTGCAGTGGTGTTAGAAACGAAGCTGAGTGGTCATTTTAAGATAGAGGTGAACGGCAGTGAAGACGGGCTGTCGGAGGAAAAAGAAGTTTTCTAAACAACATGGTAAGATAACTCTCTTTTTTTACGCATTTTGGGCAGAGAAAACTTGTAGAAATAATAAATGCGTGACATGAAAATGTGACACGGAACTTGAAGGTGCAAAATCGTGCTTAATTGGCGGTCAACTTGTTTTAAAATGAATGCTGCATCGACCGCCATTGCGACAAAGAGTGTAAATGAAAAATAATTCCCGGGAGGCTGTAAATCGTTGCCATGTGGAAATTTGGCATTAATATAATCCGATATGTCCATATTTAAGTATTTTTGGGGTGTTTTATGGTATGAGCTGCAATAAGAACGAAGTTTTAGAGGTCTTGAAGGACCTTGTGAAAACAAGGAAGTACATGTAGTTCGTAACTAACAAGTGAAATGTACCGATCTCCGACTGCTGTGCACAGCTGTATCTTTTTTTCAATATATTGACGAATTTTTGTCACAGGACAAATAAAACATTTCACTGACAAGATCTTCCCAAAAAGACAAAAAGAGAATTCAGGTGAGCTGACAGGTAATTAAGACTAGCTCAAAGTACTAATAATTGACATTATTATGCAATACTCAGTTGGTAAAACGATTCTCACAGGTAGATAACATGTAACATGACCAATTTCTATAGGCTAATGATTGCCAGCCGGAGGAAATTGATTGCCAGTCTCTTTTGTCAGTGATTTTAAACTCAGATAAGAGGCTGTCAGAATGTCACCTTTGTCTTGGCATTTGTCACTGATTAGCGCCTTCCCCAGTGTAAAAGGTATATCAGTGTGATCATGTGTGTGGAATTTCATGCCAGATGGACATATAAAGATCTAAAAATTCGTCAATATATTGAAAAAAAGATACAGCTGTGCACAGCAGTCGGAGATCGGTACATTCCACTTGTTAGTTACGAACTACTTCCTGGTTTTCACAAGGTCCTTCAAGACCTCTAAAACATCGTTGTAATTGCAGCCCATACCATAAAACACCCAAAAATACTTAGATATGGACATATCGGATTATATTAATGCCCAATTTCCACATGACAACGGTTTATAGACTCCCGGGAATTATTTCCCCTTTACGCTTTTTGTCGCGCTGGCGGTCGACGCAGCATTTATTTCTAAACAAGTTGACCGCAAATTAAGCACGATTTTGCACCTTCAAGTTCCGTGTCACATTTTCATGTCACGCATTTATTATTTCTACAAGTTTTCTCTGCCCAAAATGCGTAAAAAAAAAGAGTTATCTTACCATGTTGTTTAGAAAACTTTTTCCTCCGACAACCCGTCTTCACTGCCGTTCACCTCTATGTTAAAATGACCACTCAGCTTCGTTTCTAATACCACTGCACGTCACTTCCGGCACAATTCTGACCAATGCTGATCTTCTCCGGTTCCCTTTATTGAACACATATCCAACATGCAAAATGTATGTACAGTAGTTATGTTTAATTTTTTTAACAATATTATATCTTATTAAATATTAATAAATATAATTTGCAAATTTCCACCATTTCTTATCCAAAATCTGGAACATAGCAAAATGTACTTAGCTATAAATGGTAGTATATTATAATATATAGTAGGTAGTAATAGTAGTATAGTAATAGTAAAAGTTGTACAGATACCCGAGGTTGCTGAATGATGCGGACACCTGTATTATAATAGCTATAAAAAGGAATGATAACGGAGATATAGTCGATATAGTCATGTTTGATGACCAGATCTTTCAAAAATATAGTCAATATAAAGAGAAAGTTGGAGTTCAGGTAAAGTTTATGTTTATTTTTTCTCATTCTACATTCACGTGTATATATATATATATATAGGTTGTCTTTGTGCTTTCAGATTACCCTGCCCTCCGGAGCGTGGGTACAGGTGAGTACGGGACACTGGATGGGCATGAACGTGCACGTGCACGCGCCAAGCTATTTCATGAACCAGATGACAGGCATGTGCGGTAATTTTAATGGTGATCGTGTTGATGACCAACACTCCAGCGCTTTCCTTGAGTCGCTCAGGTGAGACGTTAAAAACTAACTTTGTGGTTTTCTGAATTAATAACCAATATACCTTGCATCGTTTTAAATACATGTACTGAATAAGAACCGTCTTTCAACACATATGGTCATTTTACATATGACGACAAAAGCACATAGTGACTAATTGTCACAGCATAGTAACAAAAATGACAAAGGACCCTTTCAGAATAAAGGACTACCTAGTCCCAGGATCAAATATGATGACCCACTAGGAAGCTTTCCGTCTAATCCGCTAATAAACACTAAATAGATATCCCGTGAGGAAGTATTCAAGTTGGTCGGTCATATTTGACCCTCGGACTAGTTAGTCCCCTATTCTAAATGAGGCCTAATTGCTGAGGCTCGCAAAATTGTTTATATGCATTCTTGTGTTAGTCCTCCCGACGAAAATCACATTCAATATTCTAAATGTCTTTTTTCAGCAGCAACAACTTCTTTTAATTATTTTTGTTTGCTTACGTATTTAGCTAATAGAAGGTATTGGAATAATTTTGTGAATTTTTTTTCAGAGTTCCACCTCAAGGAACATACTTCCAGGCTAACGTCAAAATCCCAGAGATAGTGAAGTCTGTGGGTTCCCAAGGCAACAACTCGGCTTACTGTCACTGTCAGTCTGTGAACAAAAACATCAATAAAAACGCTCTAGTGTGTGACTTCAACCGCCACATTGCTGACAGCGCCAACCTTAATGGATAAACAAAAATTAATACCCCAATTCTTACCCGATATCCCGCAGGAAATGGAAAACGCAGCACCGCAGTGAATAGTCCGGCAGGCGATGATGAGATAGTGGACCTCAGTCTGTATAGTTATCCATTTGATTATGCAGAAAATAAGCCAATAACAGTGCCCACGTTCACTTGGCCCACTCCTGGGGGTCGCACCCAAAAATATGCCCTGGACTTGTGTCAGTAAGTATTTGTTTGATAATACATCTTTTGGTGACGTCGACTTAGACTAACTACAAAGATTGTTTTGCTCGTTGTTAGATATTAAAGTGAGAATGCCTTTTTCACGGGCAAAAATTATGGGCATTCTGAATATACATGTAGGCTCTACATATTTGTAGGCATTATTTTAATCAAACAGATATTACGCTCCATATTATTGTTTGATTTCCCTGGGCTGTTTTTTTTTTTTTTTTTCTTTTTTGTGAAAATACAAGTCCGTTAAGTGGCTGCCTACAAGTGCATATGAATAGTTCCCGTGTTAGACAATATACCGACATAAACATTATGTTATGTTTGAGAATAGCGGGTTTCTATTTGTCTTTCCAGTTCTGCTCTACGAAATTCCTCTGTTTACAGCCTGTGTCATAAAGTTCCAGATTTTGACAACTCTTTCATTTTGTCACAATGTGTGGCCGACATACAGGTAACCAATAGAACGGGAATGGTCAGCATTGTAGACCGTCAGCTGACACTTTCATATTGGTTATATACTTAACTTCACATGAAAACGATATTTATGTTATTCTGGACCACAGTCATAAATTATGGGGTAAAAAACGTCTCGATCAGCTGAGCTTTTACAAACAAATGCAGAGTCACAACCACCTGTATAAGGCTACTAAGATTGTTCTGGATAATATATACAATGTATGACACTACCTTCAAACTTCCGCGTAGTAAAATATTTAAGAAAATATATTGAGAATCTGATGGCAGCACGTTATTGCCTACGTTTATACACCAGTACATGTATGTTTTAAGACATTCTGTGTATCAGATCCTCCCACAACTGCTCCCCGAACGAAAACAAAATTATTAAAATACCATGCTCACTGAATGTTTTTCTTTCTGTATCTTTAAAACAAAAAAACCTCGGCAGATGTTAGACGAGGAGACGGTGGCCCTGGAGACAGCCAGGGATACATTTGAGGCCACATGTCAGGTCGAGGTAGAAAAGCTTGAATTCCCCCCTCTGCCCGCCAGTGGGACTCCAGTTGCTGTACCAGCCAACCTACGTGAACTGGCAGCCATCGTCAACTCAGGAGCCATCAGCAGTAAAGTGTGCCCCAGCCAGTGTAGTGGCAACGGGGACTGTATCAACGGGAAGTGTCAATGTCGACCCCCTTACGTGTCCCAAGATTGCTCCTTACGGGACTCCCAGCCTCCTCTTGTGTCTGAAATTCAAGATGGAGGCATATGTGACGTCAGACGCAGGACATGCAAGAAGCTCCGCCTTGGTGTGTCTAACATAATGGAGGGTAAGGATTTCAAGTGCCAGGCAACAGTTGCTAAGGTATGTCACGCTTTTATAGTGGCAAGGAAAGTTGATGTCAAAGTGCGTTGTTGGCTCTGAAAGAATACCACTTATAAATAAAGGAGACATATGAACGACATATTCAAATGTGTGCATACTTGTGGTGATCTATAAATGAAATGAAATTGATTTCCGATTTCAGATTGATCTATCCACCAGTATCCGTACCCCAGGCATGGTCTCAGACACCACTGCAGATATGATTTCCTTCGCAGAAATGACATGCGCATTACCGCCACACTCTGCGAAGATATTTGACGGTGTGACGTCATCACCAGGCACACCTGCCCTCGGTTTCACTCTTGCCGTCAGCAATAACGGGAAAGACTATTCCAACGCCGTGAACGTCACAGTCTATGACTCCAAGTGTGTCACGTGTACCGGCCATACCTGTGTCAGAAAGGTAGGTGGAATACCCAGGTGTGCCAATTCAGTAGTGCATTGGGCTACAAAAAGTTCCTATTGAGTGTAGACTGCTAAATTGTCTGAAGTTGTCTGCATGGTGAAAGTACGTGGACCTTGTTTCGACGAAGACTGAAATGTGCAACAACACACAATTATTATTTTTATTATATTATTATTATTATTACAGAAATGACTGACGTTTGCACATGAACACTGAGTTATCGGAAAAACTTGAAAAGAAGTGATTTAATTGTTGACTGAGTTTTCTCCCCCTCCCCACCCTCCTCCCCTTCCTAATACACACATGACCACGCCGATTTGGTGCACAGTGCTGAACTTACAGAGGAGTTATCCTCCCTGAATATTGACAAATCGTTTCTTTTTTTCTGTGCAGGCTGTCACGTGCGTAATTAACGGGTACTGTATTGCGGACGGTGAGAGTCACCCTGGAGATCCCTGCCAGGAATGTGACGTGAACTCCAGTACAGACCAATGGACCAGACGGACAGGTAGGGGGTAGTATTCTGGACCAGGCGGACAGGTAGGGGATAGTATTCTGGACCAGATGGACAGGTAGGGGGTAGTATTCTGGACCAGGTATACAGATAGATACTAGTAATTTGGGAAGTTTGCAAGAATCATACAAGGAGTTGTGACGGTATATATTGTGTGACGTAAATATGTATACATGTTTCTGCTTGGATCATGAATTTCCTGCCAAAAGGAGTTATAAAGCAATTGTCTTCTACACAAGAATTATTGCCTAGTCTCCACCTGTCGACATCAAAAAACATTTTTCTTTTCTTTTTTTCTTGTTTTTCCAGATGGGAAGTGCGCCAAGACGTGCAACTGTAAGCCAGGTTTCCAATGTAACCCCTCCACGATCACCTGTGAAGGTAGGGGATACTGCAGTGTATTACCAGTATATCGTTTCTCCGGTCATTTGTATAGCAGTTGTATACACTGTTAGAAGAAGGGCTGCTACAAAGTCTTTATAAGTAAGAATATAAACCTGTAGATTTCATGGTAAATAAATTTGGTGTCATTCTTAGCATGATAAATTGATTTGGTGTTATTCTTAGCATGTCTGGCCTAAAATCGTAAAGACTCGAATGTAATATTTCCTTGCCTTCAGATATCAACGAATGCCAGAATACAAGTATATGTGGTCTCTACGAAGAGTGCCGTAATACTGAAGGCAGCTTTTATTGTTATAGTAAGTGCTAAAAGGCATCGATAAAAGAAACAGCAAAATGATTCAGTAATTATGAGTACAAATATCAACACTTATATTTGATTTAACTTTGCACATTCATTTCTGTGTAAAAAGTGATGATATTGTACGAACATCCTTTGCGCGATATGCATCTGTTATTATTTGTCATTTAAAGCACGCATTCGATTTACTGCGTATGCGCCCATTCACAATATATATTAGGTAGCCGTAAAGGAAGGGGTTTTCATTAATTTGCATTTTCATTAATTTATGTTTTGTTTTAACAGGGCGTACCTCGGGGTGTCCTCAGCACTACGCAAAGTTCGGAAACGCCTTCTGTTATCGCGTGCACCTGTCTAAGTCGACCTTCACCCAGTCACGTGCCACTTGTACCAGCGAGGGGGGCGATCTGGCCATGCTGTCTCGGGGAGATTACAAAGCTTTAACCAACAATATTGCGGGAAATCTTGGGTTGCTGTGGATAGGTAAGTTCATTTTAGAGATGGCATCGTTTCGATGGTAGTTGTTGGTGTTTCATTTGACGTTTGACTGTCATGGAATTCACAGGTGAAAGTTCTAATTTGGAATCACCACAACCATAACAATAAGTACATTTATAACGGAATTCATATACAGATCACTAGTGAGACTTTAAGTTTTCTTTCAGTGAAACGGTTTAGTCATTAGGTAAAAGCGCCCTGTATGTTGAATGTCCTATCACTTTCTCATCATATGTACTGGTGTATATGACTTCATCAGCAGTTTTACCACTACTTGTTTAGCGGTATATTTCGGAGAAATACAAAAACAGAGACATTTTTAATAAATAAAAAATCGCTTTATTTTATTAGAAAGTACACTGTATATGACATGCTTAAACCGTTACCGGAGGTAAGCTTTGCAATTTAAAAAAATATAGCATTTCCTTCAAATGAACAGATTTCTTTGACATAACTTGGCATTATTAAAAGCATCAATATATATTTATGGAAACAAAAACAACCAAACACGCCGTACATGACCATATTTTCAAGTAAACTAAAATACTTTCCCTCATTTCCATATGATTTTGTCTCAAATGCAACAAATACCAACATGTGTCATCTTTAAAATGGTATATTTTAGGAGTCGTCCTAGACAGAGTTGACAACCTTTACAGATACATAGATGATTCGGACTATCTTCCCTGGGTCAATGGACTTCCGCTCGATGTCAAGAAAGGACTTAATTGCGTTGCCATGGATACCAACGCCGCATTTCGGTATGTCGGCAAAAGATGCACAGACACGGCGGGCTTTGTGTGCCAGGCCAAATGGCAAAAACCATAACTTTGATTTTCAAACCATCTTAGGTCAGCGCTCAAATAACAATGTTTCAAATGAAAATCCGTAATACAGGCAGTTTATAACGTTGACAAAATGTTTACTTACTTCTCAATATTCGAGATTGATTTAGATAGGCACGATGGTGAGGCAAGCTCTGCGATAACGAGGCTGTTTGTGTGTGACTGAGTACTGGTGAGCAGTTTACAGTATTTTCGTCCCTAGATCATTGTATTACCTGTTTTTGACATTAAAATATCCTAATCTTCTGTAATTGAAGTGCATGTTATACATTTAAAACATATTGAAACATCGTGTTGAATTTAGAGCTTCAAACGCTGGGTCCAACAAAAGAGTATTTCGATATCAGTTCTGAAGAGACAAAAAATACCGTCGTTTGCACGTCAGAAAAATCCGTTACCAACTGTGTTCATTATTTCAGAACATCTAGTTTCCCAACAATTTCAAGTTCCTACATGTACTTTGTGGGAATTTACATTGTTATTAGTGCAGGATACAAACGTTAACGCGATAAAATTATCCATCAATCGCCTTTATATCGAAAAGGGTTCAATTTTGACAATTTTATTTTTTGCATTCATTCAAAGGCAAAATGTCAACGTACTCATCTATAATATGAAATCCGTATCAACGAAGTTCTATTTTATGACATTTTGGCCACTCCAATACACATTAATACAATACACCCCAGTACACAAGAAAGTATTTATCGGTTACTTATACTGGCCTTCCAATTAATGGCACTTGTTAAACAGCTGTGTGTGTACAGAGAAAGAAGCATACCACTTTCGATTGCTGGTGTGAAGAAGTTTCAGTTCATTTTGGCGACTACATTGAGGTGGTTGTGACACAATGCGGTAGGTGTTCCAGTGTAATTGTGCTTTATTGTAAAACAGACTGAGGCTAGGTATTTTTAAAATTTTTCATTTTTTTTTTTTCAAATTAAAATTACACCAGTTTTCGTGTGTGCGTACCATGGCTACCAATTTCTTCAATGAAAGTAAACAGAAAATAAAGTGGAATGATAAACGTTTTATCCACCACAACTGAGCTGTTTAAATCCTGTGCCCTGCGTCCCTCAGAAATAGCATAACTAAGGCATTATACCTCAGCCGGGCAGAAATGTTGTATTCACACAAAGTATACAAATTGCTTTTTGAATCTGCAACTCCGCATTCTAGCAACACTTCCCTGTCTGTATTAATATATTTATAAATCAAGTTTAAGGTATATTTATTTTAAGTTAAATATGTTAACGAAATACTATAAGTTTTGAAAAAATATTAGGACCGGAGTCACGTCAACCAGTATGTGTTTAGTCTTGTCTTAACCAGGTCTTTTGCCCAGACTGGTGGTTTTACTTCCTTGTGATTTACTGGCAGTGTTCTGCACTTGATGTTGTTTAGACCGTGAAGTGGAATTAGTGACGACATCAGAACTTGTCTCGCTTCTACTGCAGCGACAGAAAAGTTTGCGCCACAATCTTCGGTACCCGTCCTTCACTTCCGATAGTCTGATGCCATACACAATGGGGTCTATTATCGGGTTCAGAAGTGCAAAGAGACCCGCTATGTGCTGAGCGAGATAACGTCCGTCCCAGTCACGCGATGTGTTATTCTTAAATGACAATATCAGGAAAGCCATCACCACGGCAGGCGTCCAGAACAGTATGATGGTGACCAGGAGAAGGCCGATGGTAACATGGAGTTTCATATCTTTCTGAATTCCCTTGGCGTGCTGAGAGGCTGAAATTGCCGCCTCCTTTTTCAAAACGCTCTTGATTTTCCACCAAAGCAACCCATAAAGTAAAATGTTAAAAAATTCTAGGACACTGCATATCGTACCAACATACAAGACTGAACTCCAGAAGTATTCTCCGTAAAAATGCTCCCAGCATTGGCCGGAATCCGTGTATTCATTTGTAGTAAGATACCCGACATGGAGGCCAATATGAACAAGCAGCTGAAAACACAGCGAGAGGACAAGACCCAGTGTTACCCTGCGCCTGTTCACAATGGTGGGAAACTTAAGCGGGTACAAGATAGAAATTGACTGAATGATAACGATGCACGTGGTAGCAATAAGAGGGGGCCCCATGCTAAATCTGGCTAGGTCGTTCAGGATCTCGTCCCAGCAGCCAAAGGCCTCAGCTGAGAGCGCTCTGGAACCGTCTGTGTACAGCAGCGTCATCAGGAGAGCGTAGACAAAGTCAACAGTGGCAAACAACAGGTCTGTGAACGCTATGAACTTCAGTGCCAGGTAAAAGGAGGAGCTGCGTTTGCTTGTCTTGGCCTGACTCAGTGCCAGCAGAGATATGACATTAAACACAATCCCAACTAAGCACAATGCCATCTCGCTGGGATAAAGTATGTTACTGTAAGACGTGGTAAAGGAACAGTTATTACACGACTCATTGTACACAGAGCTGTTTAAATAAGAATAGTTCAGTTGAGCCTCTGTGTCGTTTAAAAAAGAAACGTTCCATTGTTCTACCTTCCTAGACACTGGGGTGGTATGTGGCGGGGTTTCTATGATAGGATTGGGGGGTGGCGTCATCGGGCCCCATGCCGGCATTGCAATAATGTTTGGTTCAGGTGTTGGAGGTCTTGTCATGAATTGTAGAGGCGGCGGTGTCCACAGCTCTAGAGGCGGCGGTGTCCACAGAGTCAAAGGTGGCTGTGTCAACAGTTCTAGAGGTGGCGGTGTCAACAGTGTTAAATTTGGTAACGCCATTTTGGGACAAAAGTTATCAAAAGGTACAGTATATTACCTGCTCGTCCAAACAGAATATGTATTTAGAATGCTCCTGTTTCTTGGTGAAATGCTGTACTGTTGCTATGACAAAGCTGAACTGTTCCTGGGGCCCCTGTGCTAAGCTAGGAGATGATCGCATTAAAATCCTTGTAAAAATCCTAAGTCATTCAAAACAACCAAGAAAGGTGTATCCTATGTCATCTTCGACCCAACTGAGTGATAGGTCAGTCACGTGGTCTATATTTCACACACTTCTCCACTTGCAGTTATTTCTTCCTCAGTTTTACAAAGAGAAATAACTTCGTATTAGCGTAAAGTTGAGCAGTTTTAACAATGACGCACGAATATCTCAAGGTGTTAGGGTCTCCACGTCCTACACAAAAAGTGTTAGTACTGTTTCCGTGCGGGGTTGAACCTTTTCCCTGCCCGAAATTACTATGTCTGTACAAAGACTCGTTATTTCGTTTTGTTCACTGATCTACGTCGTTGTGAAATGCCTGTTCCCGGATGTCTGTCCCCGCACTTGGTCCTGTCCCCGATATAAATACGACGTTAAGTCGGTGTGCCTGCTATTATCACATCCATTCTACTTAATAATACATTGTGCTGACATGACGTGGGTGACAACACGGACAATCCCTTCTGTCTCTTAATTGTAAGGTTATTTATCCCAAGCCTGCAGGGTACATGACGTTCTGTTTTTTCTAAAGATGACAACAATTTTAACACATATCTCTGAACAGACCAGCACGAATGACGTAGACCTGCCCTGTAAAACGTTAATAGACACGGAGAACAGATAAGATGACACTCCTCTATTCTACTGGATGCAGAACGATTATGTGACTTATCTCAGTCGAGAGAAAAGTGCCGATAAGAGTTAAAATGCATTCGATGATGAATTCTCTCGTCAAACTCCAAATTAAGTTAACTATAAGTAAGATAAATGCATTTTACGGGAAGCCATTACCATTGTCCCCTTGCTATTAACGGTAATGTCAATAAATATTACAATTAAAACTGTACCATTGAATTAGCATTCAGCACTTTTAAGGTGTCTATGCCTTAATGGATTCATCCACTCTGGTACTAACAATAAATAGACCGTGACTCACATTTATGACTTATGGCCAGCTTTACATATGAATGACGTCTGAGACCACATTCCCATTGGTCTACTTGGATCGACCCAGGGACTCCCGCAAAGTGTAATCAGCTTAACTAAATGACACGCCTTCTTTAGTTTCCAATATACTCGTGCAATCACCACGCAGTTTCTGTTTTCTGCTCAACGCTTGGAGGAGGAGGCGTGTCATTCTGTAAAGCTGATTGCAGTCAGGCTGATTGCAGTCAGCGAGAGTCCCCGCAGAGTTGGGTCCCTCCACGTAGACCGATGTTGTCTATGGGTATGGCGCCTTACTGCCGTCCCCTAGATTTACATCGTGAAAAGAAAGGTCACGGTTAGGAAAAGTGGGCGGAAAAGATAAGAATAGGGTGGCTGTCAGTGACATGCATAGAAATGCTAAAATGACTAGTGTGCAGTATAACATATTTCTCCTCAGGGATTTGTTTAAAAAAGAAAAGATTTCACCAAGACAACAATATTAATCTTTATATCCTGGCCATGGTCAACGTAGGAACACACGTCTTTCTGCCGCCATTTTCATATTTACGCGCACATCCCGCAGTGTTGTGAACGTTATTTTCTGCTACCAGGGACTTGTAATAGTAAACAAAATTTTAAAAAACATTTTGTAACATAGCACAAGCGCACCCTGTGGTCAGAGAGTAATAATGGACCTCTAACAGAGTAATGAGGGAGAATGACGCTGTGGAGAACTAATGGGGAGGTTAATGAAGCTCTTTGAAGGCTCTATGATCAATGCTAAATGTACTCTTAATGCGGTGACGATATCCGCTTCTAAACTTTACAGAATACTCATTATCTCTGGTTTCTATGGTAACGTTAAGAGTTTTTATTGAGCAATAACAAAGCACATCTATTTTTAGACTGTGTGTGTGCGTGTGCGCGCGTGTGTGTTTGTGCATGTGTTTGTGCGTGCTTGTGTCTGTACGTGTGTACGCGTGTGTTAATTTACCTGTGGCTTACGCATAAGCCTATATGATATGTGGCTTAAATTTGCCTTTTATCTGTCCTATGATGAATCTTAAAGTACACGATAAATAATAGCCGCATCAAATTGAATATAACATAACCGATGACTCACTTCGAATAAAGGGGACGGACGGATGCAATGTCATTGTTTTGAGAAAAAGGTATTGTGTTTCCATTTGAAGCACTCTTTGATCAATAAATGCATTAATAAAAACGTGTGTCGTTATTTATATAAAGTGAAAGCAGTTGTGTTCCTGTTCATTTCGCGGTTACAGATCCAGGAACAAGTACACTACAACCAGAAAGATATCATTTTGTCTGCGTTAGCAAGCACTGGTATGTTGTGTTAACCCCTTTATCTTAGCACTGATTATGGAGACAAAAGTCATCGAATTGTAGATTTTGTTGAATTTAACGAGTTTATTTTTCATAATTTGCTTTTTAATACACGTACTGTATTATTGCTTACGTGTTTATTGCACAAATCTAAACTCAATGTGTTAATGTTTCCAGATTTCGAAGGGAACGAGAAGGCGAGATGGTTAACTCAAGTGGTGATAACAGTTCACCGTTCCACCTTGTTCTTCCTAATGATCCGCACTCGTCAGTGAACAATGGTGCCATATTAAAGGCACTTTACCCGTTGGAGATAGCGATATGCTCCATATCTTTTATATTCAACTTGGTGACTTTGTTTACGCTGCATCACACTAAGAATCTTATGGATCAGTTCCGATTGTCCCTGCAGCTGGTGACCCTTGGTGACCTCGTGTTTGTGACCGTTGACCTTTTCTATTCGGTGACCATAGTCCAATATGGCGACATAGTCGAGGCTGTACAGCCCCAGAACTTAGGCTGCGCGGATGAAGCACTTAATGACCTTTCAAGGCATCTGTTACTGCTCCCATTACTTTCAACGACAAGCGTAGTAATCGTACAGTCGCTATCCATCGTCAAACCCTTGCAGTTCAATAGCATTGTTACTAAACGACGTGTTCTATTTGGGATGGCGCTTGCAGTCGGTTTTGTCGCTCTGTCATATATAACATTACATGTTGTTTTCTTGGTTGGAAACATGGAACGAACGTGCTTGGAACACTTCTATGGTGGGTACACGCGTGTCTCGGCGTTGTATCTTGGAACTGCCTGTACCGCCATTGAAATAGTTAACCTTATAGTGTACGCGGTTTTCTGGCATAAGGCTAGAGTCACATTGACAACCGGTATGGCCTCAAACACCCATCAACATTTTAGGCGTCTACAAGTCACAGTCGGCTTGCTCATGGGGACAATTCTTCTCTTCTGGACGCCAGCCGTCGTGATGTTATTCCTGATGGTTCTGATGTACGACAATCCTGCAGACATCAGTAGAGACGCGACCATCGCTCATCAAAGCGTTGGCGTGGTAGCACTACTGAACCCGCTGATGGACCCTCTCATCTACGTCCTGCGGATCTCAGAGGTGAAAGGGGGGTACAGAAGGCTGTGGAAGAAGATGACAAACTCATGTCAGCCCAAACCCAAGCTTGACCAGAACTCGGAGACCATCAGCGATAAAATGAAAACGAAGGATCAAGGTTCAGAGGACAGTTATAACACATACCTGTAAAGTGCGTGCGTGCGTGCGTGATTGTGTGTCTGTGTGTCAAATGAAAACTCTCATTATATCCGAAACTGGAACCTATAGGTCACAATACATCCAATGATGTTGCAACTCAGAAAATAAATCAATAAAGCTTAAAACGGCTAATATTCCATTATGACCAATTTGTTGATTAGGCTATCTCATATATTAATAAAACCCCATCAATATATTAGCCTGTGTAGTTGGAAACCACACCAACATGACATAACTTATATTTGTGAGACATTTGTATACTCATACGACCAATTTGATAATTTGATTTGGCCATCGACTTCAGTGTGACAACTGCAATGCTGTAGACTACAGTGCAAAAACGGTAGGTTCTATAAGAAAGAGATCAAAACGGTTGAAATTGGACAGGTCAAATTGAAAGAACCAAAGGATAATTTTCTACAAAATGAATGTGTCAAGTTCTCCTTTTGTCTTGCAAACGCCGCTACCGTTACAAATCTTTACTGCTCCAACAAAAGCACCTCCGCATACTCTGACAATGGCGTTTATACCTTTTTTAATCCTTCAGCCTGAACCACGGATAAAAACAGAACTTGAAACACCAATACAGAAAGCAACGGAATTGAACATGTCGGATACCAAAACCGGAGATGTGGGATGGAACGTGTCTTGCCTGAACGATTCCAGTTACAACGAGTCCGAATTGACGTGGTTTAACCATTCAGGCTATTTTAATTACACGTATGATGGTTTCAGCATGCTGTATCCGTATGAAGTAGCATTGTGCTCTGTTGGGATTGTATTTAATGTGGTTTCTCTGCTGGCATTGTTACATGTCAAAAAACCAACGCGCCGCTCTCCCTTCCATCTGGCTTTAAGGTTCTTGGCTTGCACAGATCTTTTGTTTTCTTCAGCAGACTTCATCTACGCTATGAGCATGCTGCTGTATACAAACACCTCTGAGGCTTTCTCGGCTGAGAGTCTTGGCTGCTGGGACGAAATATTGAACGATTTCGCCAGATTATGCATGGTACCGCCACTTGTAGCAACTACGGGTATCGTTATTGTCCAAGCAGTTTCCATTTTATGCCCACTTCGGTTTTCTGCCATCGTAAACAAACGAAGAGTTTTACTCAGCCTTGGCATACCGTTCAGTCTGACCATTTGCATACACTTGTCTCTTCATATCGGGCATCTCAATGGACGTCAATATGGCGAGGACTGCTGGCAGCACTTTTATGGTGAATATCTCTCGAGCTCAACTTGGTACCTGGGGTTAGTGTGCACTGCCCTTGAACTGTTCAATTGCGCACTTTACACCTTCCTTTGGTGGCAGATTAAGGCAGTTTTGAAAAAAGACATGCCTTCCCAACACGCTCAAGGAATACGTAAAGATATAAAACTGCACGTTACCATCGGACTTCTCCTTGTCACCATCATACTGTTTTGGACGCCTGCCGTGGTGATGCTGTTCCTGATGCTTTCAATCAAGAATGATTGGACCTTTGACCCTTACGGACGTTTCCTTGCCCAGAAAATTGCGGGTCTGTTTGCGCTTCTGAACCCGATAATAGACCCCATTGTGTATGGCGTCAGACTACCGGAAGTGAAGGACGGATACCGAAGAATGTGGACCAAACTCTCATCCTGCTGGCGTAAAAAAAGGGAAATTAGTAAGAGTGGAACAATTTCTGATAATGTCCATGGAAAGAGCTTTCGCTCTAGAGTAGACCCATAGTCCGTAGTGCCTTTGGTTCAAAATAAGAGCAAACTTTGCCTGAAAACATTAAGCTATGAACAATTTGGGTAATTTTACTTTAAACCGTCGGCTCAGAATACCGTAATTAACCTGGGGGCAAGCTTAGTTGTTTGTTTACTTGGCAAGCAGGTTTTGGTTAGGTTTACGCAGGTCAAGGAGATCACAGGTAAAACAAATTTCATTGCTTTTCAACTGAAAGTTGTTAACTTTTAAGGTTTGTGTTAGGAGATTCTGCTACAACATTCTTGGTTTTGCGTTTTAATGATATTAGGCAAATCGCGCAATATTACAGAGCACAATCAAGAGGGCACTTTTCTTCACTATTTGTTTTATTATACAAATTGTCTGCAAAGGTATTGAAATAACAAGATCTACGTCAACATATCTACAACCCTGGCGTCATTATATTATATTATATTATATTATATTATATTATATTATATTATATTATTACTAGATAATGTCACAGTCATTGGGTGCTATCCACTCTCAGCATGTTGGCGGTCATGGATGGCCATGCCTCTCGATCTTAAGACATTTGTATGCTTACGCTATATATTTTTGATTGTTCCGTATTTTATATTGTCCACCAAAAATGTTTTTGGTCTTCCTTTCCCTCGTTTTTCATTTAACTAGTACTCTCCTTCTAATAACAACCGCTGATAGCAATGTTTAAATGTATTTTCTAAAAAATATCCTTCCAAAATTACCTGACATGTAAGATGGAAAAAAAATTTTATGCAATGATACAAATATTCGTTCAATTAAAACCCAATGACGGTTAAGTGCATGCAAATTTTCCGTTACGTCTGTGACAATTGCGCTAGACATTCAACTGTGCCGACTTTCTTCCTTAAGAGTCTCAAAAACAAAAATTCCAGGTATCTCAACAGGTAAATATGACACCTTAGTACAACGACACTCCAACCTGCTTTCATTATGTTCATCGCCATAGTCCCTCAGGATATTTTACAAATGAGAGATTGATACAAGTTACATATATGCTAAAATGAAAGAAATAGCATGTGAATAAAAGTCACATATTGATATAATTCAGGGTATTTAATATTAAATTCCATGGACAACACTTGAGAGGCAACGGATGGGAATGTTGTCTTTTAAAAGTTAAAAGTCGTTTTCATAAAATTATATTAGATACAGTGTAACAACCATGCAGTAAAAACTTCTGGATGCGTTATTATTTTGACTTGTTTGTTCGTCACTTTGTTTTACTGCTGTCGAATCCCAGCGTATCGCTTTGTATCATAATCTATGAGTGATACCCGTGACCTGTCCTTTAAAGCCTTGTATTATAAACCTCCGATTGCTCCTCGTGGCCCGCTTCTTTGAAACTGAAGAGTTTTTTCACCTTGTTCCACAGGGTGCTGTACCCTTCTCGCACCTCCCTAAGCCTGATGCCGTAAATAATTGGGTCCATTACAGGATTTAGTCCTGATATTAAACCAGTCACAAGTTCAGCCAGTCCCAGTTCTTCAGAAATCACGTACTTTTGATAAACAATGTTTGCAATCAGGTAAAGTGTGATAACTGCTGGAGTCCAAAATAATATCAAAGTTCCAAGCAGCAATGCTATAGTGGCAGTCAGCTTCTTCGACTCTTCTTCACTCTTGTTATGCAGTGAAGGAAGCGCCGATGTAACCGTATGGTGTGCACTAAGATATATCATAGCATACAGATAACATTAAATATCATGAGAAGCACACTTAATACCCCCAAACACCAACACGCCAAATACAGATATATCCCCAAGAAGTGCTGTCTACACAAGTGATTTGTGTGAAGAAAGTAGACACTGATGTGAAGTCCCAAGAAGATCGCAACCGTAAAAATTATAGACAGACCAAACATGCCACTGATTCGCCTCTTGGTAACTATGGTTTTATATCTTAGCGGTCGTGAGACAGCGATATACTGGTTGACAACGATCCCCGTGGTGACGAAAAACGGAACCATCATGCAGTATTTATTAATATCAGTGAGAATGTCGTTTAAACAATCATTGTTAGTTTTGATGGGTTCTGCATTCCTGGGTGATCGGAGGTATACCAGGACCCCTACAGACGCTGACATTCGAGTGACAATGTAAACCAGGTCTGCAACAGCCAGGAGCACCAGCAGCACGTGAAAGGGACTCCTTGGTTTCCTCATCTGACTGAGCGCTGCCAAAGACAACACATTCAAGATGACTCCCACCACACACTGAGATATCTCATAGGGCAGCAGGACTCTCATGGTGCTCATGTACTCACTCCTGACAGACCCAATGACGTCAACTAAGTAGGGTACCACTCTGTCGCTTATGTTGCTACTGTTGGATGCAAATTGGAAATAGGTTTTGTTTTCCTGAGCCATTTGTTACATATCTGACCGTCAACAAAGGTTTCCTGTTACGTTGTGTTCTGATGAAGTAATTTCAAAGATTATATTGGAAAGACTAACGTCAATTAACTGTTTTCATCACTTTGGTTTGTGATGAAAAGGTACTGTTATAAATGCCAAAACAAGCAATCTGTTCACAAACCTCTGATTAATTTCCTAGCCAGAACAGTTTTAATCAGTTTGATAGAGCTTACGCACGAAATAAGCAATCTGGGATGGACTGCGCGTGTTTCTGGAATACGACACACGGAACTGATTCGAAACCGACAATTGTCATGAGACAATTGAGACAATGGCCATGTAGACCATTTGGGAATAGTTAATGTAACAAATAAATCATGTTCCAAATATACGTTCATTTTTGGGTTTGAGGCACTGGGCTTGTCATGCTTAAGTTTGCATGCTTCAACCACAGTGTTTTCCAACTAAAAAAAATTAAAAGTAATTGGACATTAACTTTGATACATGTGACTCTACCTCATGCTACCTCTGGTTGACATTGTGTTATGTCGACATAAAGAAATCCCATTACTTCCACCGCCTGTCACCTGAATAGCTATAGATAGTCTTAGAATCTCACCCGCTTGATCTTTGTTTGTTTCGATTTTTCTTACATGTTTGATATTTTAAAATGGTTTTTACCAGTGCAGACGCAATGATCATAACTAACAGCATTAACGAGTAAAAGGCACGCCTGGTATTCCATACCCGTAAAATTATGTATCATAAAAGTCAAATGTCCGTGTACTCACAGATTTAATAAAATTTGACTGGAACATAAATTCCATAGCAGACAAGCGATATTCCATAGCGATAAATTCAGTACTGAACAAACTACCAAAAGAAGAAGATCTAATACGCCTACAGCCCGCACTTAGCTAATGTACGAACAGTAATAGTTATGCCACGTTTGTTTATGCGTGACGTCTGAGTATTGACAGGTGTGACAGGAATGGCAGTCCTAGAAAGGGAAGTCCCATATAATTAGTACAGGTTAGGGTAAGTCGTAGTATTGGGGTAGGTATGTTGGAGAATATCAGATGTGCCCAGTACAAAGTAATTGAGAACGGACTACTATCCCTAGGGGACTACCATTCCAGTCACCCCGGCAGTTAGATGTATCCCCCGGGTCCCGAGGCCAGTACATGACAAGGGTCAACATCCATCGATTGACATGGACGACTAGAGACAATTTGGTAATATACCGGGATATTTTTTATCTTATCAAATTACAAGGTTTTTGATCACTAAATGGTAAATTTAGTGATCAAAATTGTAATGGTAAATTGTGTGTTTATAATCAGTTCATAATAATGACATTGGATCAGAATTAATAATATACATGTAAATGAAGACAATTTAGAATTTCTTTGCAAAATGTATTTATGCTACAATCATTGATGAAATATTTACATTGTATTTAGAATAAATTTTCAGTGTTCAGTGCAAACCATAAGGAACACAATGTGACCGCAGAAGGTAAATAAGTGTTGAGTATGCACTGTGTAAATATTGTTAAAAAGTCTCATTTTATAGCTGATTAAAACCTTTATGCTGTTCGTCAATCAGTTAAGATAAAGTGTCTTATTCAAATGTTAACAAAAACAAAATTCATCATCTCTCTTGTTGGTGCCAGAAACGTCGCCACTGGCCGAAGAAAATCCGCGCATGCGCGCTGGGCTCCCAGCATCGTTTGGTAATTTCAGCTTGTGCTTCTGCTCTTCTGAGTGTGACGTCTCAACCACGCGCCCTTTATGATAGAGTACCACCCCGGCCGGGGAGTGGGGGTGATCGGACCTCTTATTGACGTCACTTTCATCTTTAACTGTGACGTCACGCTCGCCATGATGACGTTTACTCCCACTGTCGTCATCATCATGACCAGATGAACGGTGGTCCGCAACCTCCTCGGGTGATTTGACGTGATGTGACGGCTTCTTACTACTTCTGAGGTCATCATGACCAGATGAACGGTGGTCCTCAACCTCCTCGGGTGATTTGACGTGATTTGACGGCTTCTTAAAACCATGCTCTCCATTGCTGTGGACAGGCTGGTGGCGCCCTGTGATGTCATCAACATGCTCTCCTGATTTTTCTTCCTGGTCCTCGACATTTTCGGTGTCTCTGCGTTGCTCGCCTTGGTGGGATCTTTTAACATCTTTATTCTTTGGGTGCTTGTAGTAGACCCGCCAGTTTTTGCGGTAATTAGTGAGTTGCTCCGGCGCTGTGTTTGATTCAGATTTTCTCTTGGAGATCTCTGGAAAATAAATTCGAAAGAAAGTAGGATGTTGTCTTTATGTATCAGATTTTTAGTTTACAATAGAGCGATTATAGTCGTATTTATTACATAAAAATATTTGGAAACACGCCATTTTACCATACCTTTATATTTGGCACGTTAAGTTAATATACTACTTGAAGGTTACTTAACATATCAAACATGAGAAAAGAGATTACAGAAAAAAAAGGAAAAGAAACCCCTTTTCTGCTCTCTTCCATCCCTTGGCATCGCCGTTTTTAATATTACATACGAAATCAAGATTCAATCCTGTACTAAGTAGGACGCAGAGGGCATCCTTTGAAATAAGTAAATTCGCTTTCTGTGCTTTACCTTCCAATTCCTCCTCGTCCTCCATCCCGGCACTCTTACCACTAGTACCATGGGCGTGTGTCCGTTCTTCTTCCTCTGTGTTCCCGTGGCGTTGACGTAGTTTTTCTCGGTTCTCTCTGATCCTCTGGGCCCACAGAAAACATTCCTCACTGCTCAGCATGATGTCTCCCTGGGTGACACAGTCGCCGTTCTTCAGGACGTACATTCCTACGACAAAACACAATGTCAAACCAACTGTGGTTGTGACAACGCAATCGCAACAAACGCAATCTGGAATCTGCCAAACGCAGTTGCTGCATTATATTCTATGCAACGTGCTTATTCGCAATCATTCGAGATAAAATCACTTGTGAACCAGAAAGAGGGTATAACATGGTCTCTAATCAATATATTTTTTATTTATTAGTCGAAATTTTTTATTTAATGTCTTAAATTCTTTTATAGTATTGTGTGAACAGCACTATATAACGCACGTGTGGTGGGTATTTCTCACTCACACACGATCATCATCTTACTGAACTCTAATTACATGCAATGTGTCCATGGACTTGCAACATCAAAATAGAATTTTGCCCAGGGGATGTGAGACGGTTTTTAAATGCAGAGAGAGAGAGAGAGAGAGATAGAGAGAGAAAGGGGTGCGGAAACATAGATATCTTACACAATCTATGGACAAAGGCAAAAGAGACATATTCCCTAGACAAAGTCGACTGAACATCAACCTGTAGTTTTTATAGCTGCTCATCTCTTAACCATTAAGTTTTGAAAACATGCCAGCACGTGCACACATTCACACACAGAAACATGGAATCTAACAAACACACGCTTAAGCAGGCGCCTCAGTCTGCGAACTCACCTATAGTAGCGTTCCACTTCACGGCACTGGTCTGCAGCATTCGCAGCTCTGGGTCTAGCGGGGAATACGTGACCACAGTTATATTGACATACAATACATGGGATGTACAGAAAAAACAGGTTCCAAAATGAACTTGCTTGAATATTTCTGGTTGCAGGGACTGGGAACGTCTGATAATGTATATTTCATTATAAGCTACATAGAAAAACAGAATCAATGAAGGTGAGAGAGAAAGAGACTTACTGGTCACTGGCGGTGTGGGGTTGTGTCTGTGGTCAGTATGTCCTAGTGCCGTAGCCAATGACCGGCCAGTCACTGAGTTTGCCAGGCTCAGCTGGAAATAAAGCAAACATTAGATACAGATTATTTCACAGTATTTGGCATAGACACATATGTCTTGCAATTCGATAGTAAAATTCCTAAATTGAACGGTAATTATGTATAAAGAAAAGCATAACAAAGACACATTTACCGTAAGACAAGCTTCCTGGCGCAGAGCTAATCGGCATCGAATTCTTTCAACACATAAACTCAACACTTTTGTCTAAAAAGTGTACTCACCAGCAAAACTATGATGAAACCAGTGGTATTCATGGTGAAAGCTGTCTGTTCTTCCCAATGATCGCTGTTTCTTTGCTCATACAAACGCACACGACTCTTTATTGAGGTTGTGCGGCACATTAGACAATAGGACGCGAATCCTTGGGCCAGAGTGATATAATTGGTTGGTTTACAGCATGCCCGGTGTCATTAAACGCCTACAGTATCGTCATCAACCTTCATTACTCCCCCGTTCAAACACGAGGCTGCTTCTATAATTAGATTTTCTTTAATTTATTTAGTAACTGAGCCTTAGTACAATTTAATATCCGTATATCATTAGCGCGCTGTAATTATATAAAGAAACTTTCTCTCAATTTTAAGGTCTTCACCAAGAATTAGAATTCCATTTAGATTTAATCAAGATCGATTCAAAATGTCCCGATAAAGTAGATAATGCTTACCGTATATACATGGAAAAAGTCCACTTTGGCCTTAATTTGTCGCGCGTGACAGGAAACCTTTTTTCTTTTTATGGCAAAACGTGCTCTTGTACCTCGCGTGCGTCACTGTGGATATTAGGGCAATGTAGATAACGTTCAACTTCATTTCCAGTCATTATGTTTTGTAATTTATATGCCTCATGACGCCAATTTTTCAGACGTTACTATGTAAGTTTTATGCTGTTACATGTAATCATTTTGGTAAGTCACTGACAATTGAACAGCGGGTTTGGGAAGGGGTGTGAGGGGCAGGGTTGGGAGGGGGAGGGGGTACAAGGCAGGGTGGGTAGGGGGGAGGTAAATGAAAGGATGGGGCGGGGTGATTTGGGAGGGAAAGGAAAGGGACAGGTAGATGGCACACACTACCCCCCAACCCCCTCCTGCAACGTGCTCCTGTTCCCAGAACCAGTCACTGCACTGGCACTCTTCATATTAATCCATTCTCTCCACACTTACTCAATCCTTAATCAATTAAATCCAATTCCTCATCCAGACCTCAATCTCCAGAGAAAGCATACAGGCCCACCGTTATGTATGGAAGCGTATAAGTGCCACAACACACAACNAAAATAAGAAAACAATCACAGAATCGTTCTGTGGGTTTTTGCGGCTTTTCCAAGACGTCCACGCCGAAAGTGCCATCTATTTCCGTTGTGTCGAGAAGTTAATGTGTTGTGTTGCGATTTTCTTTGGTGTTGTGTCGAGAAGTGAAATGTGTCGTGTTGAAATTGTGTTGTGTGTTGAGTGATTTTGTTGTGTGTTGTGGCACTTATACGCTTCCATAGTTATGTCCGAGAAATGACCACACAGGAATGACCGCAGTGGACTGCTCCAGAAAACCCCTCCTAAGTTTGACAGCTTCATTTCTTACCGCGGCTGTAGTTCCTGGTAATGCTGAGTGCAGCGTAATTCTTCCAGTCAAGGAGGGGGTACATCTCGGACATATGACGTTTATGTGGGCCACTCAGTTCAACTGAACAACAGCAGCGAAAAGAAGGAATGAACGAGGGTTGGTTATCTGGTTTAGTCCATTTAATGAATTTCTTTATATAGACGCTGAATAAAATTTGATACATGGGAAATAAACAGAAAGGTTACAAGACAGGATGACAAACAAAATATTGCCGAATTTATCGCAGTAATCAATTGTATCTTACTTAACCATTTTAGTCAACCATTTAATTAAGCCATTTTGTATAACCATTAGTAAATATTTATATAATATATTTATACCACACTACAAACCGCATCCCCTACAAGTTTCCTTTTTTCATTACATTTAATAAACAAATAGTTATATACACGATTATTTTGTTTGGCCAGAGCGTGCTAGCCGCGTCCAAGTGCGTTCAATTGTCCCCACAATCGATTCCAGAATATTTCAAAACCCTCCATGATAAGTGGCATCATTTATTAATTACTCTCCGTTAGTACGGAAATCAGTCAGAAAACAGTTATGGGTTAATCTCCTCTCTCCCTCTGATGAACTGTTTTCATTTCCTATTGTTAGCAGCAGGGTGATTCATTAGCCTGGCACGTGCTTTGATAATAAACAAGGATCGTTATTTTTTGGCATTTTTGATCTTTTCATACTTGTTGATGTTTATTATATGTTGTCATTTTTTCTGCATCAAGCTATATTACCTTGGTCCAATGTCCAACACAACCAAAAAAGTTGTAATTTTCGTTGATAAGACTTTTTTCTCCTCTTCAAGAACGTTCACCAGTGTTAGTGTGAGGCAGAGAATACACATTAGAGACGAAGCTTGTAAGTTAATGTAGAGCCTTCAAATAACAGAAAAAAACGTTTGGTCTAAAGTCCAATTAGCTGTCCCTATTTCTTCTTTTGGGATCATGTATTCTCTGTTTTTTACACGTTAAAAATTGGCTGATTATCAGCGTTTTGAAAAAAAAACAGTATCTACAGATGACTTCATAACGTCACATGTTGTCTTGCACTAAGGAGGCAGTTCTAAATAAGCTGCCAGAATCTCGGCTAAGATTAAAACCAACATTCTCAGTAAATTACAAACATGAAAACCGCAGTTTACCCTGTGGTTAAGTACTGTTGTGTTCTGTGTTTATCAACTAAAACTGACACTCCTTTAACGAGTTCCAAAGCAGAGCCAATTGAATGCACTTCTGGTTTTTCTTTATAAAAAAGTTTGTTGAATTATTTGAGCGTTTGTATTTTAAATAATTTTAACCGGGGGTTTGAATTTTCGACGGCGTTCCTTCTCTTAGAGGCATGTGCCGCAATCTCTGCTGGTACACGCGGGTAACCTGTCCTTTTTTCACCTTCTATAAAATCTTCATCGGCAACTTTTACAACATTGTTCTTCGTTCTACCATTTAATCATATCCAGTATTGTGTCTTATTGCCATACCTAACGAAATGTCGCAACCGAAATATTCTCTCATTAAAAACATTATATTGAAACAATTAACAATCCGTAATGTAAAATAGCAGTTAAAGTTAAGGATTTATTACGGCATTTTCACTTCCCGTATTAAGACAAGCACACGTTTTTGCATACCGTGGCATAAAATATTGAATGGGAAAATGTTATAAAGAGAATCAATTTACTTTGTTAATTAGTCAGCAGGGACCGTCCTACCCCTAGGTAATTAAACTAGGTAATTAAATGAGTAATGTTCAGCGATTTGTAAAAGTAAAGAATACATTGTAAGTCAATATATCGTGTGTGTGATCACATTCTCCACGTAACCTGTTGTACACGGGTAAAACGGTGTTCTGTCCTTAAGTTAAGATGACTTATAAGATAAAGGAAATAATACCTCTCCTCATACGGGGTCACAGCACGTGGTCCATAAAAAACTTACTGTCTGACACAAAGCCACCTGCCCTCACCTGAACATGACACTTGGAAACGCAGGGTTCAGGTTTAAGTCCGGTATTTTAGTAGCTTGTTCCAAAACGATTACACAGATAACCTCTCTCGACCTTAACTTAACTTAACGCTCTCTCCAGATGATGGACAGTTTTTAAGACAAGAGCACGTGAAACTGCAAGGACAATCTAGTGCGCGTGTTTATGTACGATTATGCGTGCACATGCGTGTGTGTGCGCGCGTGCGTGTTTTTTATAAATACTGGGTAATATTTAACAAGGATTAATGACCCCCTGTCGTTCTGGTTTTAAGGCAACGTCAGTTAATACAGAAACCACTAATATAATGATGGGTAAGTCCTAAATACCATCTAGACACATTAAAACGAATAAAAATCGCCATCAGGAACAATATTCTAAAACGGTAATATTAATAACGTGAGAGCATGGCTTTATAGACACTTCAGACAGAACTGAAAATAAAGCTAAAAAAACTCACAGAACTTAAGTTACCTTAAACTTTTTAAGCCGAGTCATATCTAAGCTTCCGGGATAAACTTTGTTTACAGCGGGGGCAGGTAAGGATTACAAATGCTTTCGTACCTTCAGAATGTTTTTATTTTAAAACAACTTGCAAAATCTTGATCCATGGAAAAGTTTGGGGAGAGGAAGGGGATTTTTTTAAAATGCGCTGGCGTATGTTAAAAGAGAAAGGACGTCCACCTACTAGTGCGTATAATAGGGTATTACACACCCAAAATAGGTCTCAGACACAAGAAACATAACTTGTGGTTTTTCATGCAGAAGAGATTTATGTCTCCCATATTTCACCAGAACAATGCTCCGCTCGCGTGTAATGCGCACGCATGCGTACTGCGCTGTTCATTGTTTGATGAAAAAATTGTACCTGAAATAATAACCGAAAAGATAGCCTCTGCATGAGAGCATAAACGTCAGAATGAATAATAACTCTGTTTATATTAAGCAATCCAACCTGTTATGAAACGGGGAAGTGCTGTCAATGAAAGAAAACAATGGCTGGCATCTGGCAGAAATCATAGTTAGCCTTGTCACCAGGGCTTGCCTCCAATCTTTGTTCCGCATTGAAACATGCTTATACATATTATATTCAACCCAATCCAAAAGTAATACTACGGTAAGGATCTCATTCACATCAAATATGCTAATGACATGATATTGACCAGATACACTCGAGTCCAGACGACAAGCGACAATAAAGACTCTTGTGTACGGTGCGGTTCAAAATTAAAGTCATTTTCATGTCCACATGTGTCCATTACCAGGATAACGCCAAGGTAACATACAACAATTGCATCACCCTGGTTTCATGGCCCTAAAAAGGTTTTGTTAACGAGAAACGGAGGACGGTCCACATGCCCTGCCTCCTGGACGCTTGACGAGTCACCAGAACAAGGTCGGGCGGCATTGTGACGCTGTAGTCGTGTAGTTCTGGAGACAGTGTACGGTGTGGTTTCCTGTCCACGGACTTAATCAAGTTCTTCGAGTTCGTGGTTTCTTGAATGAGAACCCCCCTCCCCTTTTACGCTATAGTTTTTGACTCACTTTAATGTGGCACACCTTTCAATAATCTACGCAAGCCATTATTCTTCAAATTTGAAGTAAATCCCAAATTCTTCTCATCCTGTTTTACTCGTTTTACCTCTTCTCTTTATTCTACTCTCTTACATTATGTCTTTTCCATGCCCCCCCCTCTCTCTCTCTCTCTCTCTCTCTCTCTCTCTCTCTCTCTCTCTCTCTCTCT